GAAAGGCAGGTACGGTTCTCCACCCGTTGGCAAAAACATGGCATGTTTGCAAAAGTGCTCCTGTCGTGCTCGTGGTGTGCACATCACATCTTTTTTTTTTAATTGTGCAACAATAAGACCGATATGTGTTTCTGCGTCGGACTGGGTTCTGGACACTACACAGTTATCCGGCGGTCTGGTCAGCAGACTGAGGCTTGATCTCTGCCAGCTTATGGTTCTACGCGTTCAGTGCGAGCAGCTGCTTGGAGAGAACAGGACAAGCAGCCAGTTTCTTGAGTAACCCTCACCCTACAGCTAAGGACAGCAGCTGGAGAATGACATCCCCGCGAAAACTGCAGCGTGATGACAGCTTCAATTGTATCAATTTCCCTCTTGAGGACCTCAGCAAAAGCATGGTCCTTGGATTGCAAGTAGTGCACGTGTACAGGCCGGAGAGTACATGTCTGTCAGGAACAGGCAGCTACTTGTTCTTTTGCTAGCAAGAGCTGCCCACTTTGCACGCTTTGGATGATGCTTGAGGTGTGGCTAAAGGAAGGCCGCGATCGCTGCTCTTGAAGCAGGAGTTGACATGATAAGTGGAAAACTGAATCTTTGGCATACCGGAAGCATTTATTATTTGAGACTCTCCCACTGATTGTCTTGACATCGATGCATCGTGGAATTGGGTTTTGGGGTTTGCTTTTTGTTTACCGCCAAATTGTCGCCCCCAAGCAGCATGAGCTTTGCATGCAACCCCGTTGGGTTCCGCTTCCTGCTGGCGGGTCATGCGATCTTTGCAATAGCCTGGCTTAATGCCGCGTAGTTTGGGGAGTCTAGTGAGTTGAGGGCCGAACGCCCAACAAAGCCAGAGACAAGCCAATATTGCCAGTCAAGAGCAAGCATCACCCGCTCCTGGCATTGCTTGGCTTGTCTCTGGCTTTGTTCCCTCTATTCTGGCTTATGCGGCTGAAGTTCATCGCGCCAGCAGCTCAGTCTCAGCAGGTCTCAGCGTGTACTTGCTACCCGTGTCTGCCTGAGGACATGTCTTCTCTGGCTGCACGCCCATGCGGTACGGCCGTCCTTGAGCGTGCGCAGGCACAGCATGGGAGCCGCGCAAAGCGCGTTGAGTTTCAGCCTTTGTGGCCGTGCATCCCGTTTAGTTCAAGCTTAAGGTAAGGGCCGTTTGCCCTTTTCTGTTGTGCGACGTGCCACGAGCATGAAAGTCAAGCTACAAGCTGCCATGTCTGCTCCTATTGGGCAAGTTCCCCTCCTGCTCCAGGTTGAACGGCACCCTTGCGCAAGATGAGGAGGTGATCCTTGCAACTTGCCTGGGCAATGCTTTGCGCGAGAGCGAAATCCATTCAACGGCGCGCGCCTGATTCAGGATGCACGGGCGCCGAACGAATCGGAGACTTGAGCCTTGACTGAACAGTTGATTTATGTTACCCAGACACCACCTCCGGATATCCATTGAATCTGAAAAAGCGATGTTTCGACTGGGAGGCGGTCTTCACGCATTACTCACATATCCATGAAGTTTCATTTGCTTCGATATTTTGCGGAGCGGGTGCGCTTGAGTGTGGGTTACCATGTGCGGACAGGGATGCGCTGGGGCGGGTTTTGACCTGGTGGCGTGGGTTCTTACACTCTGCGGACATGGATGCGCTGGGGAGCGGGTGCACTTGAGCGTGGGTTCTTACCATTTGCGAGCATGGATGCATATGGGGAGCGGGCGGGTGTACATGAGAGTGGGTTCTTACCATCTGCGGACTGGATGTACCGGGGGCGGGTGTGCTTGTCTCATCGTCATCAGTAACAAAAATAGCAACAGGAGCAACAGCGCTAAGCGCCAAGCACACGCGCTAGCAAGCTGACAACACCGCACTCTTCCAGCCCTAATTTTCTGGGTTGCCTGAGTCTTTCGACAGGGTTGCCTCAAGCACCGTTTCAAGGCAACAAGCCAGTGCACATGACCACTTGAGGAGGCACAACTGCGCACATGACCTGCGTCGCACGGCGAGTTTGGTTGCCTTCTATTCTAATTAATTTTCCCGCTACCTGTTCGAGGCGTGCCGCCTGGGTGGCGGAGCGTTTCAGAGGTGCCCCAACTCCAACTGGTGGTAAGATGATGCAAGATGCAAACCCGCTCTTGGGGATGAGTTGCGCATTCTGGCTAGATGAGACATGTTGTTTTTGTTGCTGTGGTTTTGCAGGCAGGTCTCTGCGCATGTCGAACGCACGTGAATAAGACGGCTAAAGCTCAAACTGTGGGCAACGAGCCTTGCAGACTGGATTTGATTGGCCCTAGGTGAGCAATGCCAGGGAGTTCTGATGAACTATCTCACGGTGCTCCAGACGACCACAAGGCTCGGACCGTCTTGGGCGAGGCCAAGTTCAATTGCTGATTGTCGGTGTGCGGTCGCATTTTCATCCTGCGTTGTGTTCTTTGCGAGCACACTCAAGCTAAAAAGGAAGATGAGCGCACGCACATGTTGCAAGGCTTCGAAGGAGCAGACTGGAGCAGACACGGAGTGTGTTCACTTGGAAACGCGAAAAATAGTAGCCACGGTAGCTTGTTCGACGATTTGGCGCGCGCTCCGCGAAGAAACGATGGCGGGCGCAATCACCACCATTGCTTTTCTTACAATGCCGCGTCTAAATTGAGTTCAACAATATGAATATGAATGTAGACATGCGCACATATAGATGCAGAGACAAGTATGTACACACGCCCATGTATTCGCACAGTATCGTTTTCCCAAGGTGCATATTGATGAAGAATCGGCCTGTGCGAACTTGCTCCTGTTGCAACACAAATGCCACATCCGCGACGTCTCGTTGCTCCCTTGATCTTATCGCCTGCGGCCAAGGGCCTCGGTGGATTATGTAGTTGTCATTGAAGAAGAAGCAAAAAAAGACAAGGCAGGTCGTTTCAAGTGACATGTTCTACAGGTCAGCCGAAAGCAGGCTCAGTCCATTCCATGCCTGCTGAACAAATAACGACTTGTTTTGCTCCAGGTTGCCGGAAGTTTTCTTGTCTATCTGCGCACGCTTTGTGCAGTTGTAACGCTTGCTTGGGGGCTTGATTAGCCATGGATGCAAATCTGGCTCGGTTGCTGAAGGCTTTTGCAAGACAGGCTTACGGCTGAAGCAGAGATGCTTTGGGAAGTGCATTGAGAGTTCATGCTTCAAGCATGCATGCATGTGTTCATGCAAGAAGGCAGACGCCTACACGCACATGGTGTTACGCAAATGTATACGTAGATAGATAAGTATTCGCAGAGGTGAAATTTGCCACGTCTGCCAAGCAAACACCCGACAGGCAGGTAGGCAAGCAGCAAGGCATACGGACAGGCAGACGCAGAGAGACGGAGAGATAGAGAGAGAGAGAGAGAAAGAAAGAGAAAGAGAAAGAGAGCGAGAGACGGAAAAACAGAGAGGAGAAGAAACGGCGAGGTGAAGACAGAACGACGCAGAGCCAGGCAGGCATGCGTGCACACACAGGCATACGTCCACGTATTCAGGCACGCAGGCATGCAGGTTTGCAGGCAGATCGAGCGGTATGACGGCAGCGTTGTCGACACAGACAGACCCGGAAAAGAGCAGGTGCACTCAGGCGCAAGTACGGAGACCGGTTCAGAGGCAGATGCGCTGCGGCAGGCACGGACACAGGCGCACAGAGAGAGAGAGAGAGAGAGAGAGGAGGAAAAACAGACAGAGAAAGCAAGAGGAGAGAACGACCAAGAAGCAGGCACAATCATGCTTGCGTGTTACAGTATACGCATGCACCTATGACATATGCATTTGACGCTCATATGGAGAGAGGGAGACCCTTGGTGGGGTTCATATGTTTGCACGCACACGCAAGGACTCAAAGCAAACACGCACATGCAGACAGCCTGCAGATGCATGTGGATCTACCGCGTGGTGATGCCATTGCGTGACCGGTTGAGGCCGCGCGTGACTGGGGCAGCCCTGATCCTAGCGGCGACGTTTCTGACGTGGCTCATGGTAGACACGGCGCAGCTCTTTTTCCTACCCGCCCTGCACCTTGGCCAAAGTACGCCAAGCCACCTGGAGGCCATGGCATGTCATGCCTTGCATTTGATTCGTCTTGCGGTCTTGCTTGGCGTTGAGGGTCGCCAGTTTTGTGTCTACATGCTAAAATTTGAGCCAGCTTAGGTGAATAACTTGCAAGATGTGTGTGTTTCTATTCTTTTTATTTTAAGCGGTCCCTGAGCCACCATGTCGTTCACGAGCTGATGATTTGTAGCTGGTTGATGACACATGCAGCCTGTGTCCTTCTAGTTCCTCTTTCGCAACTTGATGGAGTTACCCGCTGTTTCTTGATCAGACGCATTGTGGCCAACCTCAACAAGTTCACTTCCCCACAGTTCGTCCCAGAACGGCAGACACATAGGCTGAAATCATGAAATCCAGCGTGTACTTCGAGGTGCACAATTGAAAGTCATCGAACAAGCCGGATTTCCACCTTGAAGTGGCGAGTTGTTGCTTGCCCCAGACTAATGGGCTGTGTTGAAAGATGTTAGAGTGATACTCTAACCAAGATGCGGCAGTACGAAGTTGAACGTGGATGAAGATGCGCCGAGTGCAAGCACAGCTGTTGCGCGCGTGTGTGTGTGTGTGTGTGTGTTGGCATGTAGGTATGTATGTATATAAGGCAATGTCATCTAATCTTATGTAGTGTAAGGTAATGTAAGGTGAGCTAATTATGTATGATTGTAATGTGATTCAATGTAATGTTTACATTACGTATGTATGCAAAGTAAGGTAATGTATGTATGCACGTAATGTTACGTATGTATGTAATGTAATGTAAAGTAATGTAATGTAATATACTGTATGTACGTAGTGTTATGTATGTATGCATGCATGCATGGATGGATGGATGGATGGATGGACGTATGTTTGTATGTGTGTAATGTAATGTAATGTAATGTAATGTAATGTAATGTAATGTAATGTAATGTAATGTAATGTAATGTAATGTAATGTAATGTAATGTAATGTAATGTAATGTATGTAAGGTAATGTATGTATGTATGTATGTATGTATGTATGTATGTATGTATGTTATGGTAATGTAATGTATGTGTGTATGCATGTTATGTTATGTTTTGTTATGTAATATATGTATGTATGTAATGTATGTATGTAATGTAATGTAATGTAATGTAATGTAATGTAATGTAGTGTAATGTATGTATGTATGTATGTATGTATGTATGTATGTATGTATGTATGAAATGTAATTTAATGTAATGTAATGTATTGTAATGTAATGTAATGTAATGTATGTATGTTATGTTATGTTATGTTATGTATGTATGTATGTTATGTTATGTTATGTTATGTAATGTATGTATGTTTGTATGTATGTATGCATGTATGTATGTATGTAATGTATGTATGTATGTATGTGTATGTATGTATGTAATGTAATGTAATGTAATGTATTGTAATGTAATGTAATCTAATGTAATGTATGTATGTTTGTATGTTTGTATGTATGTATGTATGTATGTATGTATGTAATGTATGTAATGTATGTATGTATGTAATGTATGTATGTATGTATGTATGTATGTGTGTGTGTATGTAATGTATGTATGTATGTATGTATGTATGTATGTATGTATGTATGTATGTATGTATGTATGTGTACGTATGTATGTATGTAATGTAATTTATGTAGTGTATGTAATGTATGTATGTATGTATGTAATGTAATGTAATGTATGTAATGTATGTAATGTATGTATGTAATGTAATGTAATGTATGTATGTATGTATGTATGTAATGTATGTATGTATGCATGTATGCATGTATGTATGTATGTGTATATGTATGTATGTATGTATGTATGTATGTATGTATGTAATGTATGTATGTATGTATGTATGTATGTATGTATGTAATGTATGTATGTATGTATGTATGTATGTATGTATAAGGTAAGGTAAGGTAAGATAAGGTACGTAAGGTAGTGTATGTATGTATGTATGTATGTATGTATGTATGTATGTATGTATGTATGTAATGTAATGTATGTATGTATGTATGTATGTGTGTATGTATGTATGTATGTAATGTATGTATGTATGTATGTATGTATGTATGTATGTGTGTGTATGTATGTATGGTAATGTATGTATGTATGTATGTATGTAATGTAATGTAATGTAATGTAATGTAATGTAATGTAATGTAATGTATGTAATGTATGTATGTAATGTATGTATGTATGTATGTATGTATGTATGCATGTATGTATGTATGTATGTATGTAATGTATGTATGTTTGTATGTTTGTATGTATGTATGTATGTATGTTTTGTATGTGTAATGTAATGTAATGTAATGTAATGTAATGTAATGTAATGTAATGTAATGTATGTATGTATGTATGTATGTATGTAATATGTATGTATGTATGTATGTATGTATGTATGTATGTATGTATGTAATGTGTGTATGTGTGTATGTATGCATGTATGTAATGTATGTATGTATGTATGTATGTATGTATGTATGTATGTATGTATGTATGTATGTATGTATGTATGTATGTATGTATGTATGTATGTATGTATGTATGTATGTATGTATGTATGTATGTATGTATGTATGTATGTATGTATGTATGTATGTATGTATGTATGTATGTATGTATGTATGTATGTATGTATGTATGTATGTATGTATGTATGTATGTATGTATGTATGTATGTATGTAATGTAATGTAATGTAATGTAATGTAATGTAATGTAATGTAATGTAATGTATGTATGTAATGTGTATGTATGTATGTATGTATGCATGTTATATTATGTTATGTAGTGTACTGTATGTATGTAATGTATGTATGTATGTATGTAATGTAATGTATTGTAATGTATTGTAATGTATGTATGTAATGTATGTAATGTCTGTATGTAATGTATGTATGTATGTATGTATGTAATGTAATGTAATGTAATGTAATGTAATGTAATGTAATGTAATGTAATGTAATGTAATGTAATGTAATGTAATGTATGTATGTATGTATGTATGTATGTATGTATGTATGTATGTATGTATGTATGTATGTATGTATGTATGTATGTATGTATGTATGTATGTATGTATGTATGTATGTAATGTATGTAATGTATGTAATGTATGTAATGTATGTATGTATGCATGTATGTATGTATGTATGTATGTATGTATGTATGTATGTATGTAGGTATATATGTATGTATGTCTGTATGTTTGCATGTTATGTTATGTAATGTAATGTATGTATGTATGTAATGTATGTATGTAATGTAATGTAATGTATTGTAATGTAATGTAATGTATGTATGTATGTATGTATGTATGCAATGTATGCAATGTATGTATGTATGTATGTATGTATGTATGTATGCATGTAATGCATGTAATGCATGTATGTATTGTATTGTATTGTAATGTAATGTAATGTAATGTAATGTAATGTAATGTAATGTAATGTACTGTAATGTATGTCTGTATGTAATGTATGTATGTATGTATGCATGTATGAAATGTAATGTAATGTATTGTAATGTAATGTACTGTAATGTAATGTAATGTATGTATGTTATGTTATGTTATGTTATGTTATGTATGTATGTAATGTAATGTAATGTACTGTAATGTAATGTAATGTATGTATGTATGTATGTTATGTATGTATGTATGTATGTATGTATGTATGTATGTATGTATGTATGTATGTATGTATTTATGTATGTATGTATGTAATGTATGTTTGTATGTATGTAATGTATGTATGTATGTATGTAATGTATGTATGTATGTATGCATGTATGCATGTATGCAATCATGCATGCATGCATGCATGCATGCATGCATGTAATTTAAATATGTAAGTATGTATGTAATGTAATGTAATGTAATGTAATGTAATGTAATGTAATGTAATGTAATGTAATGTAATGTAATGTAATGTATGTATGTATGTATGTATGTATGTATGTATGTATGTATGTATGTATGTATGTATGTATGTATGTATGTATGTATGTATGTATGTATGTATGTATGTATGTATGTATGTAATGTAATGTAATGTAATGTAATGTAATGTAATGTAATGTAATGTAATGTAATGTAATGTAATGTATGTAATGTATGTATGTATGTATGTATGTATGTATGTATGTATGTATGTATGTATGTAATGTATGTATGTATGTATGTATGTATGTATGTATGTATGTATGTATGTATGTATGTATGTATGTATGTATGTATATATATGTATGTATGTATGTATGTATGTATGTACGTATGTAAAGCATGTAATTCATGTATGTATGTAATGTAATGGAATGGACTGGAATGCAATGTAATGTAATGTAATGTATGTATGCATGCATTTATGTATGTAATGGAATGGAATGGAATGGAATGGCATGCAATGTAATTTAATGTAATGTAATGTAATGTATGTATGCATGCATGTATGTATGTATGTATTTAATGCATGTAATGTATGGTATGGTATGTATGTGTGTACGTTCGTTCGTTCGTACGTTTTTTAGGTATGTAATGTATCGTATTGTATTGTCATCCAATGTAACGTAATTTAATGTACGTAATATATGTAGTGTATGTATGTGTGTATGGAATGGGATGCAATGTACTGGAAGTATCCATAGATTACAAAACCCCTCCCCCCTTATACCCCCTCGCCATTTCATCTAAGAGGTCTTTGCAGGGCTGTGCCCTAATGGCTTACTAATAGCTTCCTAATAGCTTACTAATAGCTGCTAATAGTTTCCCGGCTTTCGCGTACAAATAGCTGCTATTAGGTAGCTATTAGCAGCCATATTTTCCTGCAGGATTTTGCCGGGTTGTCACGCTGCTTCAAACGCTTGAAGTCTTTACAGGCGGCAGGTTGTTGCAATGCCGCGATGGCTGGTACTGAAATCGTCGGATAGCCTCCAAGTTTTGGGTCATATCACAATATTGATCCCCGAAGATTTCAGCAATGTACAAGTCCACTGGGCACAGTCTGAGTGGTTCAATCAGCTGTTCAAACTGGGCGGCAAAAATGCCGAGTGGGAGAAAAGGTATCAAAGCGTCCGAGTCTGGCGGAGTCTGGCTGAATTGCATTGCTCGCGGGGTCTAGGTAGCTAGTCACTGCTATTAGCAACCTATCAGCAGCTATTTGAAACCGGGGGGGGGTCTGTAAGTCTATTCGGGCCCTAATAGCTGACTAATAGGCTGCTATTAGTACGCTATTAGTACCCTATTTGAAAGGGGGGGGGGTCCGTAAAACTCGAGTTTTTTCAGTGTTTTGGCTTCCCGAGGCTGTTTTCTGCGGATTTTCGGACAAACCCAGGAAAACTGGCGAGGGCTTGAGTCGTAGGGGAGCAAAGGAACGAGTTTCAGGCTAGCCTGTCTCGTATGTTGTCGCAATTAGCCTTTACTGATCGAAACGCTTCGCTTGCAAAATGCAATGCGCGTGATTCAAGCCTCTCCCAAGGAGTGTTGCTAGCGTGCGGGGCTGGAAGTGCATTCCCCCAAGGACCTCTCCCAGGCACCCTAGGCAGATAAGCATTTTACACTTAAATGAAAAGGGGGGGGTACAAGGGGGGGGGGGGGCTTAGCAATCTATGGAGTATGTGTGGAAGGCAACGCAATGTAATGTAATGTAGTGGAAGGCAACGCAATGTAATGTAATGTAGTGTAATGCAATGCAATGCAACGCACTATATGTACGTATGTGTGTGTGTGTGTGTGTTTGTGAGCTTGTGTGATGCTTATGTGCTTTGTGCTTGCGGACAATGGATGGTGGTGTGTGTGTGTGTGTGTTTGTTTGTGTGTTGTGTGCTTGCTTTTTTGTTTTTTTTTTTGCTTGGTTGCGTGCTTGCTTTCGTGTTTGGTTGGTTTTTGGGTTGGTTGTGTGCTTGCTTGCTGTTGCGTTTGGTTGTCTTTCTGTTTGTTTGTTGGTTTGCTGCTTGCTTGTGTCTTTGTTTGTTTGGTTGGTTGGTTGGTTGTTTGGTTTGTTTTTCATTTGTTGTGGTTTGTTCGTGTTTGTGCACGATGTTTGTTTTTTGGTGTTGATTGTTTATATTGTGTGTTTGCTTTGTTTGTGTGTTGGTTGATTGGTTTAGTTTGGTTTTGTTTTGGCTTGATTTGGTTTGGTGTGTTTGGTGATTGGGCTTTGTTTGTTTGACAGTTTGTTTGTTTTGCTTGTTTGTTTCTGCTTACGCTTGTGTTCTTGTTTATTTGGCTGATTGGCTGATTTCATTGCTGTCGGCCCGTTGGCTGGCGGGCTGACTGGCTGGCTGACTGACTGGCTGGTTGGTTGGCGGGCTGGTTGGCGGGCTGGTTGGTTGGTTGGTTGGTTGGTGTGTTGCAGGTCGTTGCTTGGATGAATTTCCAGGCTTCTTGCCGTCCCTGCGTGCACTCTCCGTATGATCCGATGGGTGTTGGGTCTAATTGGATTGGATCAGCCTCAGGCTCTACTGGAGCCGGCGCATGCACCTGTCGCCTGAGATGGCGGCAGCAACTCTGCTTGCGGGGGAGCTCAGCCTCCTGTTGGCTATGATTCAGCCATTCCCCTTCAAGCTGTGGCTCAAGACGGCTCCTCTGGCTCCTGAAATTCCATTTGTGGGGGACAAGTATAGATACACGTTTACTTTCATATTGTTGTTTCTTCATTTTTGAGGGAGCTCCCAGCCAAGGAAACCAAACCTGACCAAACATAGGATTGTGTCGTTCCAAAATGTAGCAAATCAAGCCAGGGCGCGTGCCCTCAAAACGAACCCACCCAAATCTCAAAAGTGGCACCAGAAGTGGTTTGATCTCATTGCGAAACAAAGAGGTGACATGGCACCAATCCGACACCCGTGGGTGGCACTGGGTTCGCCCAGAGGCTGAGGACACGAATGTCAATTCCGTGGGGAGAGGCTCTCCAGCGGTTTCTGGAAAATGCAAGCAATTGCCAGATTTTCGTGGGTTTGGCGGTCGTATTCCAAGAGGTCACAGAGTGCTGAAGCGAATGGGCTTCATGCGCTAGAAGGTAGGCCGGGTTGCGGACAATTGCTAAGGAGGTGTGCAAGCAACCCTTCTTCGATGTTTCCCAAATGAGCAGCATGCAGAAGGTTTATTGCACTGGGCTTTGCCACTGCCCTGGCAACTCATTGTAGCCTCTCAAGGACCCCAGACGCCAAGCAATTGCCGCAAGGCCTTGGGAAACGGTGCGCCTGATGCAGCCGATGTTGCTCGGCCAGCAGATGTCTCACGATAGATGGGAAGGACACACAATGGCAAGCTACATTTGGAACCACCGCCCTTCTCACTTTGGTTTGAAGGCAGAGTCCAGAGGAAAACTTGAAGGAAGGCAGTTTCTAAGATAGCTTGGCTCAATTTGTTTGTGTAGCAAGCGGCGATCTTCTGCAGTATTTGTGATTTCTGTTTGCCGAAATTTGGGGCCTCATTTCCAGACCGATTTGTATAACCAAAATGGGGCTGGACCAGCACCCCAGAAATTTACGGGTCATGTAGCCTGGAGGTGGAAGTCTTTGAATAAGATATGTTGCACTTTCGAGGAATGGCAAAATTTGTTGTGGTATTGGTGGTAAGATTAGAAGGCAGGTGACGATGGCAAGGCCGTACAAACACGTGACCACTTTGCGTTGCGCTTCAATGCCGAGTGACGTCACATTGATCACGCAATCAAGGGCACACTGGCGCCTCTTTCCAGTGTTGGATAACTGCCAGAATGTGCCAGCGTGCCGACTCAGAATGTGATTTCCTGTTGCGAAAGGGCTCAGCATCCTTGCTTGCTAGATGTTGCTAGTGCCAAGCAAGCAAGCAATTGTCTCGGAGCAGGTCACGTTGGCAGAGTTTTCATCACACAAGCACAGAATCATGACTTTTGGAGAAGTTAGTTTGTGGTGCATTTGAGACAACTGTTCTTTGTGTATATGTGTACGTGCATTGTTCCTTGTTTAAGCACGCAAAGTTGACAGGTGAGCTAAACCAGAAGCCTTGCCACACTTCCGGCATTGGTAGAATGCTAGGGGAGAACCTTGAACGATTCAAGAACCCTCCAATGGTTCTGTGCGAGGGTAGCAGCTGCAATTCTAGCAACCACAAACACGATTGCAGGGTGGGTGCGAAGGTGGGGGTTTGGAGATCCATGCTTCCAGGCAGATGAATCATTTTGAGCTGACTTGACCTGTTGTTGATTGCAGAAAGCTGTTGCGGCCTGAAATCTGCTGCCTGTGTCCACAGAGTGCTCGCAATCGCAGCCTCACCGTGTAAGACTGTGATTGCCACAGATAGGCCACCCGCAAAAGTGCTTTCTACTTTTCTCACCAGCGAAACACGTTCTTCTGTCGGTGCCAATGTTCGGCTGTTGTTTGTGATGCCGTCCACGTGAAGTTGTTCCTTTTGCCTCATGGCCCAGGCCTTGCTAAATATGGACTCAGGTTGCCACCATAGCAAGGCAGGGTGCACGAAAGTAGGTTTTACAGGGTACCCCTCCTGGTACTGTGGGCTGAGGCCGTGGCTGCCGCACAACTTCAAGATTTGCCGTTGGGTCTCAGCGACCTCACAGGCTCCAACCTTTGCAGCCTGGACGGATGGAATGGGGCGCTCGTCGGGAGAACGTCCGCGCATCATCCCTATCAGCCGTGATTTACATGATTTCAACTTGGTCGAGTCTTTCTTGGTTTGCGGAGACCATATTATCATAACATGGTACTATGGTCCCGTGCAGCCCGGTTCCTGGTGGGTGGTGCTAGCGACCTCATGCTGCCGCCCCCCTTTTCGCCTGAAGAAGTGGCCTCGGAAACACTGGCAAACGGACAGCCCCCTTCCTTCCTGGGCCTGAGATCGTTTCCGGAAGGCATAAGGAGCGAAAATCTGGATGTCGCACCAAAAGCTTTGCTTAACTGCAACCAAGACGCCTCACTGGAGGCCCATGTCAGCACTTGGCGTTGGTGATCTCTCTTCCTTTGCTGGGGTCTAGAAAAGGTGTCTTTTGGTGTGGTGATTTCGGGAGCATCAGCGTGCTGGAAGGGTTCAGCGTGGCGCTTTGCAGCTTCCATACCCATGTTCAGGGTGCTCGGGATGCCCTCAGAGTACCCTTCCGTTATTTCTGCATGTGGCCGTCACTCACAAGCCTTCCCGGGCCACGGCATTCTGGCATTCTGCTTGTGTCTCTTCGGTGCTCCTGTGGCCCGCCGTGGCACGGGCCAGTCTTTGACAAATTTAGGTGACCAGTGAGAGCAATATGCGCCGATCAATTGGTCTTTGTCTTCACCTGCTTTTAAACTGGTTGTGAGGCAGCCTGACCATCAACAATGCGTTGGTCCTCTTGATTGCCTACCTGGCCACAAGAAACGGGGAGAAGCTGACTACCCTCTCAAAGCCAGGACTGTCAGATAGTCGATGAACTGTCACAGGTTCCAGGTCCCGTTCCTTTTCGAACTGGATGGATCTGCTGCCAAGGGGTCGCAGCGCAATGAACTCACCACCCGCACAGACGACTGGCACTCGCCACAGGCTCAGACGCGGGTCAACGACTGCAATGCGCTTGGGGCCAGCGATTCCACCACATCCTCTCAACCCATGCACGAGGCCAAGGCTAGCAAGTAGCCAGAGCGCGAGTAATTAAGCATCAACAGGGCAGGCAGGGAAGCCAAGTGCCGCAAACAGGCACTAAGCTGCAGAAGACCGTTCAATCCCCTAGCTGAACATTTGCCCTGGCCAACGGGGAAATGCGGAATAAGAGCAGCGCGCTCGAGAAACACCAGTGTGTCCATTAAACGAAGAGGCAACGACTGACGCCACGCTGACACCCCTTAAAGTTGTGCGGATAATTGAGGCTTTGGGGAATCCTGTGTTGGCTGGATTTTACAAGTTCAAGAGGGTTCCAGTTTTGAGGAAGTCAAGGTTTGGAGAGCGCACAGGCCCAATGATTTCAAGACGCGCCATGTGTTAGCAGAATGACACTTTGCAGTTTCTTCCGAGCTGGCTTTGTGAGTTCTCTCCGAGCCTTTTAGTCTTGCAACGCAGTTTCACAGCAGCCTGTTGTGTAAAGAAGATGTTGTCCAAAGAGGGAGTGGGCTAAGAGTTAAGACTAGAGGGTTTGTTGATCTTTGCCTCAGAAACATTCCTCCTAGGTCATTTGACCTTACGTTTTGGCAAGTAGCGTTTGCCCGGCGAAGTTAGCTTGCAGCTGTCTTCGTTTTAGCTCAAAGCTCTTTGCTTTGAACCAGTCAGGACACTACCAGGTGCTGCTTGTATTCTACTGCGCTGCAATCGTCCCAGCCTTGGTTTTGGATAATATTGGCGGCGGAGAATTGAGACACGTTCACTGCAGTGCCCACTAGCATGACAGCATATGCAAGAGAAGAGGCAAAGGGTGTGAAGCGAACCCCTCAAAAAGCAGTCCGGCTTGGGCGCAGCCACGGAAGCACGAGAACTCAAGAAGGTTTGTGGAACTAGCAATACTAGCCTGCTCTTGAACTAGCCAGCTACTTAACCAGCTAACTAGCCTGTAAGTTGAGCCAGCCACCCAACGCCGGGGCTAGAAACTGAGCCAATGTTGGTAGCTGCCAGGAAACTAGCTAATTTGCACGCAAACAAGCTATCTAACTTGCTATCGAGGCTGACTAGCTAGCCAGCTAGCTGACTAGCGAACCAGCTATCTAAGTCGCACAGGCACGCGGGCAGGCGAAGGCATGCGCATCCTGACCTAATGAGCTCATGTTGCTCCATTATTCTTGAAACTTTTGCCCCCCAGCTGCTGCTTTACTGGCCCACGCGTGTGTCCTTGACTCGCCACGCAAAGCAGATGGGAAGATGCCCATGAATCAAATAGCTCATATCTATTCAAGTTTGCGGTCGGCCTCTCGGAATTTCAGGTCCTGCTGATCTTTGGCCTGCGCAAGGCGGTTGTGAACTTCTGGGTGGGTTGCGCGCTGCCCGCCCTTTACGCCGTGCCTGGGATGCATGGAGCCAGACCCCTGGATGACGCCTGCCTCGCAATTCCTTTGCCGCTGTGATAGCAGAGTGGTCCCGGGGATCACCTTTTGCTATGTTTCGCTGCTGACCAAACACTGGGTTGACTCGCGACTTACCTGCCCAGGTCATGTTATCTCGTCAGTTGCTAGGCTGCGTGGACCTCAGTTTGTGCCAGCCAGGTGTACGTGCTTTGGTTGGCCTTTGTCAACGCAGAGGCCGGGTAACGTCCGATGTTCAGAGTTCGCCCTACCAAACGAGCGTTTCAAAAACTAATCAGCTTGCAAAGCCTGGAAAGATCTAGGCACGCCGCGCCATGTTGCGACATTTCATTCGCTATTAGACAGCGATGAACAACTCAAGTGCGTGATGTCAGACGCCCTCTGAAGAACCAGGAACTCACTTGTCGCTGGCGAACTGCCATGTTGGACTCTTAGAGCCTGAGTGTATCTCCATGGTTTCAATGCTGCTGCACTACAACCTGAAGAGCACGATTTACTTGGATGCTATGCCCCTTTGCATACCTGAAAACCACCCTGTCATACTGGCTCAATGCCATGTTGGTTTGTTAGAGCCTCAGGGTGCCGTATGTTTAAATTATTTGGCCATCCTGCACATACAATGGACCCGCGCAAGACACTATCACTATACGTCATGCTGATTCTATATGCTACTTTGGGCAATTCGTTCAATCGTGTGTGTGTGTGTGTGTACCAGGTATGCTCCAGCAGAGCTGGAGGGCGGAAGTTTCTGGAAAGGACGTGTGCCTATAGGAAGAGAAAGTGCTGCGAAACTGCTGCGCCTGCCACGAAATATGTACTCGAGCTTTCGAAAGTGCTGCGCTTGCCGCGAAAATCTGTGCTCGACCTTGCGAAACTGTCTTTCTTTCTTTAACTCTTCTGTCTTTCTTTCTCGCTCTTTCTCTCCCTCTCTCTCTCTCTCTTTCCATGTCATCTATCAGTCTGTCTATCTATCTACTTAGGGAGAAGGGGAGACAGAATGGCAGGAACCTGTCCAGGCGAACTCGTCTAGTCTCAAAAGAATCAAGAACCCCTACATTAAGTTCGGGAAAAAGAAAGACATAAAGACGCGAATAAGCAATGGAATTGAAGCGAGGCATCCAGCGCTTAAATTCAATGGTGGCGCACACGCACTTGAAGCAATGCTCACGTCTTGCCATATATCGATTCGAGGTCTGTGTGTCCTGCGCTAGGGTGGGTGCATCATGTTGAAGGGGGCCAGAGCTGTGATGGCCAGCATCTAGATAGGATCAGTTTTGAGCTTGTCTACGCAGGGAGGCACTAGTTTACAGAGACGGAATAGTCGCCATGACGCTGGGGTGCTTCAACACTCTGAGTACGAGCCACGTGTACTGCAGACAGCTCAGCTGAATTATGGATGAGCGCAATGGTCGAACACCTGCAACATTGCGCAGTGCGAGTTGCTCCGTTTCATCAACCGTGCGTCAACGATGCATTCGTGTTGCTTGCTGCGCAGGAGAACGATAATATCAGCAGAGCGCGTCTTGTCAGCACATGTTGGAGGCGTCGGCTTTATGCAGGCAGGTTGTTTGGGGTAATATGGTTCTGGTTTGCCGTGGTTTTTCAACGGCTTGTGATTGTGGCTGGACTAGTCATGACGGCGTTTCTGAATCTGAGTCGGTCTTCATGCCAATGTTGCACTTTATTTAGCCGATTTTGCTGACAGAGGAGATCAGCTTCGCCTTCCTCGGTTGAAGTTTCTACTTGGCCAGTTTCCCAATTCATCTTGAGCGGGTCTTACCAGAGCCGTGACACGTCTTGAATGGGAAAGGCCGCACGGTTCGATTTATTTGCGTGCGGAGGTGCCCAAAATTGGCGGTCTGCGGCAAGTTAGGGAATGTAGCTTGTGGGCGCTTAGCAAATAGCAAAAGTTTGTCCTAAAAAAGAACAGTTAATTTGCCAAATAATTTCAATCTTCTGATTAGTACCTCTTCTTCAGGCAGAAAAAGGAAAACATTTCGGGTTCGTGCAAAACTGTTGGCAGTCCATCGTTCATTTGGGAGGGACATGGGCTCGCTTAGTTTCCCACAAAACCAGGTGACTCATTTGAAGAAATATGTTCTTCAGGGGCAACAAGTAACATTGATTGTGGTCCAGTTGCTTCAAATAGATGTTATTGCCGCCCTGCCATCCCCCATTTTCTTCGCACGTTCCACAGGCTGAGGTCGCGGGCAGCCCAACAGCCTGCTACGTAAGCGCAAGCGGAGCTTTGACCATGGCACATAAATGTTCCCTATGTTCTTTGTATCTACACTTCTTACTTGCTAGATTATACCTTGAAACTTGTTAAATTCTGCCAACGATCCAGCGAAACAAAATCCTTTGCCATTGAAGACTTCGAATCTATAGTAGACAATGCATATACCCGGCTAATTTTCTGGGTTGAAGCTGTGGTGTTTATGATTGCGCATGGGATTGGGCCCAAAGTACTTGACCGCATGCAAGTCGGCGCGAGAGCCATCCAAGGAGGAGACGAAGTGACTTAGATGCACAGTTCAGGATCCCTGTTACCACGCTTCCGGGCACTTCCAAGATACTGTCGGGTTTGGTTCAGAGCTTTTTCATGCCTTTCATTCTGTACATGGTGCTCATGAGCCAAGTTGAACAGATTCTTCTCTGAAATCGCAACCGAAGGAAAGTACCAAACAATGGAATCGGAATATGGCACAAGTGAGGTCAACCTTGGTTTCTCACGCCGTCTTCTGACGCGCAGCCCTTGAAAGCTACAATGGGGCATCCGCTCGTGGTAATCTAAACTGACGAAGACATGATTTTGTTTCTTCTCCAGACTCGTGTGTTTACCATTTGAACGCTTGCCGCCGCTGTGAAGAACACAGCAGCAGTGGCTTGAACTTTGATCCAATAAGTAGCTTGTGGAGGACATTTTATTGAACATGGCCTGTTTGGTTTCATGGTTTCGGCTGGTTCTAGATGTTGCTACAAGTCCCGGGCACCCGCTCGGCTGCAAACAATCCAAACCAGACGAGCGCAGCAGCGCTAGCAGAACGCTCAGCAGAGCAACCACAGAATGGCGAACAGCCCCACGCAAAGAGCAACAGGGAGTGGGTTGTTGCTTGGGGTCACCGCGATTCACAGGGGAGACAACTCACAAGGAACAGCTAAGAAGCTAGAGTTAGAAATGAGCTAAATCGGTGCCGGAGCAGTGTGAAGTGTTGGGCCAGGTTCAGTCACAGACGTTGCTATGGAAAACGCATTGGCCTGCCTCAGCCGCTTGGATGCAACTACAAGCTTTGGGTATGAGGCTTCACCCAGAGGATGTTCAGAAAAGTGTTTGTTTACTTCAAATCTTTCTTTCCCAGTTTGGGTATGATAGATCGTATCACGAACCCAGCCAAGGCCTTGCCCAACCTGTCTTGGCCATTGGCTTTCCCAGCGTGGTTTTGATATAGATGACCAACAGTTCTGCTTGGAAAGGTTCTCAAATGCTGCGAGGCGAAAGTTTCATTTGTACGCATCCTTGGGTGTGTGCTTGCCTGGGTTGGAAAGTAGATTGATTGGGTTGGCAGTTGGTGATTGGTGAGGATTGAATAGGTGGGCGGTGTTGTTTTGGTCTCGACTCACGAGTGCAACACCATTGGTCAGTTCAGTTGGGGGTCGGCATGTAGCCAGGCCCTCCAACCGAGAGCACCGAGATGCTGCCATGGCTTCTGCCACTTGGGAACAAAGTGGTTCAAAGGGGACGTAAAATCAACCAGTTGGAGCCATCTTGAGTTTTGACATAGGATTTGCCTGATACAAAGGGATGCCGTGGTGGGTTGCGATTCAAAGGAAGCTACAAGGGAAAATATGCCTATGGGCCGTAGCTCCTTTTGAGACACACCCAAAGCAGCCACAGCCATATCTGTAGGAAACACCCAATGGGCTCTCACAAGCAGTTCGCTACAAAGAAAGTTGCTCAAGACGTCTCAAATTAATAGTTTCCTTGAGCTTTGACTCTGTGCCGCGGCAAGAACTTCAAGCCTCACTGGACTTAGTTTCTGGATGACTCCCCAGTAGCAGGGGCGAGAAGAGGCGACCTTTTGCATTGGCCTGACTTGGCCTTTCACACAATTGCAAGATATGTTGCAAGTAGAAAGCAAGAGTGCTCCTGGACGTTGCCAGCTTTGTCACAGTCGGTTTGACTGTTTGCACGCTCCACGGACCAAGCGCACGGGTGTTTCATGACCCCAGAAAAAAGAAAAAAACACTCCCGCCGTCAAGATCAACGTCTTGGTCCTCTCCCCACTGCCGCAGCCGCCTCCACTCCGTTCCTAAACAGTCCTTCGAGAGGGGCCGTTGTTTCCTGATGAGTTTGCCAAAAGATGGTAGGTCAGCTCAGCTTCCCAAAGCCATGCTTCAGCTAGTGCGACCCAAGAGACTATGCACGATCCTCATTGTGGGATGCATAATGACGCATCATCCTGATCGCAATTCAAGAAGAAACCACAACACCCATGTGGCCAGTATCGAACAGCCGCGGGTATTGTCAAAGATCTGACACTGTAGGAGTTCCCGAGATTCTTCGATTCTTCGGAGGGATTGAGGTTGGAATGGAATACTGTATTATTTGTTGGTAGCAACCGCAGGAGGGGTTTGCCGCACTTGTTTTTCACCCATGCAAGGAACGGGGCAAACATTTTGCTGTGAGCAGGGTCATTGTCTCGGCTCGGCCCAGGATGCTGCCTTTCACTGCCTCGGCCTGAGCTGCCGCAAAGAGATGTGTTTGAGCGAGGGCAATTGTTTGCTCGAAAGCCGCTCAGCTCGCTCAAAGCTTCGAAATGAAGGCATGCAGCATCCAGAGCTCCGAAACATTTGTGTGAGCTTTTCTAGGAAAAGGTGTGCCTCCCCCGGGCAAGGTCAAACCGAGCTTTGACCCATACACCAGCACAAAAACAAGCAACACAGTGAGGCATATTTGAAGTTTGTTGCCGTTTCCACCAAAATACTCTTTAGGTCCCAAGGTTATCACTCTTTCGCAGAAAAGAATATATACGCGTGGAAGAAGAGCAAACAAACATGTTTGTTTCGAGACAGGGCATTTTGAATGCCAAGACTATCTCTAGCTGTCACTCGAGACCAGACTGCCTATTGCCACATGCAATGTAAACAAGTGTCCCCCTGAAAGGAACGTGTTTCATGTGTTCCGCCGGGGGGAAATGATTGTTTTTGGGTGCTGAACCAACCAATTCAGGTGCTTCGACTGGCCTGCATTCCGCCCTGTGATCTACGCTGGGATATGAGCCGCCGCTTTCTCCACGCCGTGTGCCCAATAGGACTGGCTCTGACGGCAAGGTGCATGTACGACAAAAGGTCATGGATTCCCACTGGCAAAGAACATTGATAGGGAATCCAGGGGATTTCTGCCAGGGGTCCTGTACTCCTGGACTGCCCACTTCGGATCCAAGCCCGGCTCTGGATTCGGCGCAGGCAACTATGTGGTTTGCCTCATGGCGGGCTATCTTGACCTGCCTTCAGTGAAGGAAGGGGCTGCTTGACTACTTGGAGGGTTGGAGGGCTTGTCGACAAAAAATTGTTGCACTTGGAGCAGCACCGAGGTGGCCATCGGCGCAGTTCTTGTGCTTTTGTCAGCGGTGGCCTTAGCAAGATCGCCAAGGGTTTGCTGATTTTCTCCCCGTTCCCGTTGATTTTGTTGTGGGTAATATGACCGAAGCTGGGCAAGAAGCGCCTGAAAGAACTCGACCCTGGCTCGAGGGCATTGCCGCAACGACGGATGCGCCACCTTTGACCTTTCAGGTGAGCATCTTTGCGTTTGGCGCGAAGCCTACAGTCTACAAGGGCGCGCTTGAGCACCTTCCCTGGTTTTATACTCTCATGGCGATCGTGGCCCTGGCAGCTCGGCGATCATTGCACGACTTTAAAGATAGATTTGTTCATGGTTTCTGGTGGTCATAGTTTGCGACAAGAATTGGTTCCATTGTGCTCGCACGGTTCCGTGAGATGTCTGATTCTTGTTGTTGTTTGAGGTATCCTCCATCATGTGGCTGGGAATGCTCTCCAGTGTCGCCTGGCAAGTGAGCCAGGGTTTGGTCCAACGGTGAACGACCTGGGGTGCGCAGGACCAGAGGGCGGAAGCCCAACCCTTGGCTATTCCTGGGGAACGCTTCTACTACATGATTGTTTTCGTTTTTTTCCTGTGGGGTTCCAAGATTAACCGGAGAGAAAGTTATGTCGAAAGGGTGTGCTCGCAATCGCGCCCTATCCAAACCTCAAGGAACGAGTCAAGCTTTGCTCTCTTAGTCCTGGCTGTTCTCAGCTCTGGGTTGCCAATTGGCCACGGTCTCAACTTAAGGCTTCGTGTCTTTTCAACCCTGTGGTGCTTGACTTGGTCGGCATCCAGTTGGCAAGGAACCTGAGGGATCCATTCTTGGTGGCTTTCATGTGGCAGCACGCAGGTGCACAGGTTATTGACACACGTTTCGAGTTTGGCCCGATTGGTTCAATTTCCCCCCCCGTTGTTGACAAGGATCCTTTCAGCATGCTACATGTTGCAACATATTTCCCAGCAACATTGTTTGGCTGCCAAGGAGATAACTTCCTTACTGGAGGGTGTTTTCCGGCACTTTGAGATGAACCGACTGCGATCCGGCTTCACTTTGCTTGCCTGGGGCATCCTGGCTGAACTTGTCGGAAGCCGAGAATTCTCGACCCCTGCATAGACATCCGCTCTGCAAAGAACCTTGCATGGGATCAGAGAACCTGTGCAATTGTTTCAAAAGTTTGTGAGTTGTGTGCGTTTTTGGGGCGCATGTGAGGTGGGTGGCTGCATTTTGCGTGGCGTGCCAGGAAGAAGGAGAAGGAAAATCGAAAGCAAGCCGGGTTAATTTTCCTAAGTTTGAGGTGTGCTAGTGTGATGGAATAAATATTGCACGAGTTTTATAGGACTGCATGTTTGCCACCCCGCGCCCCCTATACTGGAAATTGAGCTGAGACTGGCAAAAACGCTCACAAGTTGCCAATGGCCTAAATCTCGCATGACCCGACCCAACTTGGCCAAAGTGAGCACCAATGTTAAATAGGGGAAGCGGGGCAAGTCGCAGCAAGATGTCATAGATCTGTTTTTCAATAGTCATGCAAGATTTGTTCCACCCAGCGTATTAAAAGCAGAGTTCTATTATTCGCGTGGGGGCGCAGACATGATTGTTTGGGTCTTGCATACCAGAGTGGGCTGCTGTTTGAGTGGAGGGGTTGTGTCACAGAGCGCACGCAAGCTCTGGAGAAACCACTGCTAGGCAGTTGGGAAGTTCGGGCCATCAGAAAATTCCACTTCGGTCCTGGTCTAAAGCGCAGACAGCGTCAAAATCGAAATGAATTACGCAAGGAATATGCATAGCTTTGTTCAACCGTTCTTCTGTTTGAACTTGAGTTGTTTGTGCTGGCTTAGTACTTGTGCAATCAGATGAAGCATGGTTTGCATTCTGTTCAGTACAGTGTTTCCAGTTTTCACAGGGACCAGCGCACAAGAGTTGTGATCTGAGCTGCCCCCGAATACAAGCGCAGCTAGGCTCGGCAGAGAATCCTTCTGTGGGCTTGCATGGTGTTGGTTTAGTTTTGAATATGTTTCGGGTAATGGGAAGTTGGAAATATGGCTTGAACTACATTTTGAGGACACATGTATTGGTTGTTCGACACGCTGACTGGGCAGACATGTTGGATCAAATGCTGAATCAACAGCAAGGAGTTCGCATGAGTTCGCGCAATGCTGCCATCCAGCCAGCTATGCGCTACAAGCAGACTTGGGACCATGGAAAGCACTGCTGTGTTTGAAACAGCCAACGGCTAGATTCAACACGTGGTTACTGCAGCCATTATCCATGTTCCGGCAACAAAAAAGCACCTTTGCTTCTCTGGATGGTTGAACTGGGCGCCAAGCAATCTTGGTTGTTGTCGAAATGGTTTTGGTTTTTCATGTTGTGTGGAGTTTGCGCTCGGTTTGGTCCTCATTTAGACCTGTTGATACTTGCGCATTCTGACAGCTCAAGCGACTTACTGAGGCAACTGTGCTGGGGATCTGGTGGCTAGCTACAGCTTGGCGGTCATGGGGAAGTACTCGCTCGCTTTGAATGGCAACTGAGATGCAAGTAAACCATGCCAACCGCCGTAGCAGTCGTAGTTTCCACTTGCGTGTTCTGTAGGGTTGCTGTGTGTGGTCACCGAGAGTGGACAAGGCTTAGTCTTCTGTGTGTTGCGTCCAAGGACTGGTGGCGAGCCAATTCTTCAATATGGCAGCGCCTTTTTGGCAAGATGCCAGATGCTGGCAGCAGATCTCGCCACCATGGATTGAGAAATCTGCCCTCCCGTTGCTGTAGGGAATTTCAGCCGGAAGCGTGCTCACGCGCATGCGTGAATGTTTGTGTGTTTGTGTGTTTGTGTTTGTGTTTATCTCTGTGTTTGTGTTGCGTTGGTTTCCTTGAATGCTTGGTTGGTGTGTTGGTGTGGGTGTTTGTGGGGTTTGGGGTGTGGGGTGTGTGGGTGTGCGGTTGTGTGTGTGTGTGTGATTCTGTGTTTCTGTGTTTCTGTGATTCTGTGATTCTGTGATTCTGTGTGTGTGTCTTGTGTGTTTGCGTGTGTGCGTGTGTGTGTGTTTCTATTTGTGTGTGGGTCTTGTGTGTTTCTGTGTGTTTGTGTGTTTCTGTGTGTGTGTTTGTGTTTGTGGGATTGTGTGTGTGTGTCTCTGTTTGTGTGCGCGTGTGTCTTGTGTGTTTGTGTGTTTGTGTGTTTTGTGTTTGTGTGTTTGTTTGTGTGCACATGTTTTGTGTGTGTGTGTGCTTGTGTTTCGTGTTTGTGTTTGTGTGTGTGTGTGTTTACATCTGTGCTTGTGGTCGTGTTTTTGTTGTGCGCGCATGTGTTTGATTGTTGTTTGTGTGTGTGTGTGCACGTGCGCGTGGCCGTACGCCTGCCATCAATCGTTTGTCCCTCCCTTTTCGCGTTTTTGTTTGCGCATGCGCGCGTGTGTTTGTCATTAGTTGTGCGTGCACGTAAGTGCGTCTACGCGGCGGGCACGTGCGTGTCGCGTGTGTGTTTGCAATTGTGCTTGTGTTTGTGTGTGTGTGTGCTCGCTTGTGTTTGTCTGTCCTGTCTGTTCTGTTTGTTTGTTTGTTGTTTGTTTGTTTGTTTGTTTTCTTGTTTGTGTGTTTGTGTGTTTCTTTGTTTCATACACAGTGTGCGCGTGTGTGTGTGTGGTATCAGTGTGTTTTTTGTCTGTCTCTTATTCTGTCTCTTTGTCTCTACCTGTCTGCTTCTGTTTGATCTTTGGTTTTTTGGTTCGTTCGTTCGCTGGCTCTTTTGCTTGCTTGCATGTGTTTGCTTGTTTGCTTGTTTGCTTGCTTGCTTGCTGGACTTTGCGTCCTGGTTTAGATTTGTTCCGTGCCATCGATGAAGGAAAAGCGGGTGAGTTTGGAGCGTTGGATTTGACATGGGCCGACGGCGTGCAAATCAGTCAGGGGTTGCGTGGCACGCACCGCCTGCCGCAAGGCACTGGTTATTTTTGTTTGAAGTTTCGATTTGGCCAACAGCGAAATATGTTGTTGTGGTTCTGGTCAAACCTTTTTTCCAACGTCCTTCTGCCTTCCAACATGGAAGCTGGCTAGGGCTGGGGTCGTTATTTTGACTGGTTGCGGGGGCAATCAAAGTCAGAAACTGGAGTTGTTTCCCTTTCTCCCCCCACTTAGCACCACTTAGGGGCTGACTTCGGCCAATGAGGCCAGTAGCGACTGAGGGTCGCACTTTTCCTCTGAAGGGACATTCTTGTGAGGAGGGCCCTCTAGAAAAGGATGCTTTGAGAGGCCCCCAAGCTCTCTTTGTTCCTCGGTTCATCCACGCACATCCTTGCCAGGCCACACTGTGGCCCGCTGTGCTTTGGGCCCTGGCAACTCGTGAGGTCGGCTTCGGAACCTCGCTCATTCTGGTCACCGCCGAGGACAAGGAGCTGACGGTCTTCGCCCACGGCTGGCCCTTGGCCGTCCGGGATCCCTTGCTGGCGCCTCGACTCAAGCTTATGGTTAGCGCACGCGACGGGCAAAGTTGCAGACGTCAATGCATGAAGACAGTTTCAATTGTTGGCGGCGAGCCTTACTGAAGCTGTGGTCGCCTGCATGGCGACCCCCGGGGGTCCCCGCCACCCCACTCAGTCTAATCAACACTACTTGTGCTGGTAACGCATTGAGGCCTGCGCGGTTGCTCTGGCCATGACCGCCGCAGTCTCAGGATGCACTTATCCTACAGCAGGGTTGTCTAATCCGGCATTCGGTGCTCTATTTCAGGTGTTTGAACATGTGCGTGCGCTTGAAGAAATCTTTGACAGAAGGGCAAGCACGGGATACTCCTTCACAAAGCATAAGATTTATACAGTCTCTAGAATGCAAATTATCAGCTGCTACGAGAGGGTTTGCGATCTCCTTTTGCTTGTGATGGCTTTTGGCTCCCAAAGCAAAAATATTGGAGGGGCTTTGGCTTTTCACATCCCCTAGCATCACCAGCAACCCACCCCCGCGTCAAAAGGAACACGCTTGGTTGTTCCAGGCATCCTCAAATTTGTGTTCTTCCCAGATTTGCAGGGCTTTTGTTCAAGTGCCAATGTTTGTAAATGACCGTCAACAGCAACCCCAAATCTCTGGACGAACCTAAAGAACTCCAAGGCCATGTCGCAGCGCGTCCAGCAAGCCTGCCCCCACCTAAGCGAACCCTAAGACCACCCTAAACCAGCCCTAAACCCCACTCTAAGCCAGCCCTAATTTACACTAAACAAACCCAAAACCTTGAAAGCCGCAACCAAGCCCTAAACCCAACCCTGTGCCCTCCATTGAAAAGGCTAGAAGACGGGGTTGCCCATACTTGACCGACTCAAGTAGCTCTGCTCAAAGCTCTTCGAGCAAGTTCTTTGTGCAAGTTTCTTTGCACAAGTTGTTTGCACAAGTTGTTCTGCCACATTTCTCTGAGCATGTTTTTTGGAGCAAGTGTGTCCGAGCAAGATCTTTGCACGCACAGCCTTACGCCGCGAGTACGATTTTCCTTGCGGAACTGCGTAAGCGTACTTCGCGTACTACTTTCGTACTTAAAAGTTGCGATTTGCTAGCCGGAGCTATGAAAGTGTACTTTGCGTAGCTTGTGTGCTGTGTGTTTGCGTACAAGCTGCGTGGGCCCACGGGATTCTTGCAAACCACCAGAAAAGCTTTCCGCCCCTCCACAGAGGGTCGCAAGACTTGTCTTTGAGCCTCCACCACACCGATCCTCGCAGAGGACTGCGCGACTTATGGCAAAAGTCGTATGCTAAAAAGCAGAAAAGTTTTAAGTTTTTGCACATTGACCACACGCCAACCCACGCACAGTCGCGGGGGCTTGTTAGCAGTTTTTTCACATCAGCCACGCCAAGGGCAATCCTGAGCAGCGCCGACTGCTGCTTTAGAAGTTCTTTGAGCACGTTTCTCTGAGCAAGCTCTCTGAGCAAGTTTCTTTGAGGAGGCGACAAGCTCCTTCCTGGGTGGTTTGCCCGCAGGATTGGGGTTCTCAAGGGCGAGTCTCGGCATTGCTTGAGTCTCCTCCGAAACCCGATTAGGGCTAGGAAACTTGCGAAATCTGGATGGAGCGGGTGGTCGCGGCACGCAGCTCGAGTGATCGAAGCCAGGCATATGATCACCTGATCAATCCCCAAACCGCCTGCCAGCTAGGACAATGTTCATAGAGGTTGTGTTTGAAGCTTTGTCAACACTGCGCAACAAGGACCAAGCCCTAGTGCCTTGCTTTTTGCAGCCACACGTTTCGGGTCCCCAGTCAGAAAACAACATTTGTGAAATAGCGAGGGGTATGAAGGGGTTTGCCATTCCGTGTCGATTCCAGCCATGCTTTGGCTCATTGAAGCTTCGACAAAAACAGCTGCTTGTTTGGCCAGAGACACGAGATGCCTGGTGGGTGACGACGTAGCCAGGGCCGCGTGCGGGTGAGTCCTTCCATGCTGAAATGAGCTTGAGGAAATCGGTTTTTATGCAAGGGTAGAATGCGCTTGAAGGTCGGGGGTGTTCCTCACCGTTCCGAATGGTTTGTCTCATTCTTGGATTGGTTTGGTTGTTTTAGGCAATTGTCCCAGGGTTCGCGCCTCTCGCAGCCATGCAAGTTTTTCACTTGGACTCATTCCTTTGTTTTCCGAGGTGGCCACGCTGGCTGTGTTCAGTATCAGGGACGTCCACGTTCAGAGCCCGATGTGGGCCATTGCCCCTTGCCACAGTGAGAGTGCTCGCAAGTCTGCTGGATCCGCGGCAAGCCTCAGAGGCGAAAACAAACATGGCGCCCCCCGAGCTTGCTTTTCGCCACATCGTCAACGCGCAGAATAGTCTGAGAGTTGTGTGCCCTCCAAAGAAAAAGGCAAAGATCATATCTTCCAGTTACCGCAACCCAAGGCGGCTGGCAGGATAGGGCGGAGTCAGAGGCACAGCCAAGGCCATGGCACACCCTGTAGCATGAGGCCGACGCACGATATGCGCTTTGTTTTGCTGTCCGGGAGGTAAAGCCCTCAGGCTTTTCTACGCACTTATTATTCTTGAAAAAAGAATCCTCATGGCGCTGGGTTGGATTGCTCGTGTTGACTATGTTTGTTGGCTTGATTGGAATCGATGCTCTGGATGATGGGATCACATTGCCTTGCGAATCTGAGAGGTGCTTGTCACGGCCATTGTTCTTCCGTTGTTTTGTCCTTCGTGCAGGATGTCAATTTGATCCTAATTTTAGCCAAATTATCGTGGCATTGTGATGGCAGGGGCTGGACTGAAGCTGGCCATTGGGTCATTTATATAAGACTCTTCGCGCAACACACAAATGCTTGGCGGCACTGCTTCTGGGTGATTGTCTCACTGCTCACTTACACTTGCGTTCCTATCGCCATGGCCTCAACATGAGCACGAGCTTTCTCGTAGGTGTTGAGAAGTACAACCCTCATGTGTCCACGTTCGCATCTAAAATTGAGTTTTCTAACACTTGGAGAAGCAATGTTCAAGGCATGCACGGTGGTGGGTCAGCCGGCTTGCCTGTTGGTCGTGACGCAGAAGGTGAGGCGCAGCCTCGAACAAGTGCAAGATGTGCTCACGAGCTCTCTACTGTCTTTGGTTGCGTTTGATAGGTCTGTTACTCGAGACAACGCGGATGTTTCGAGCAGGGGTATGTAGGCGTGTTATTGTCTAAGCCAATGATTCTCGGGGCAATTGCGTATATCTTTGGGGGTCATTGCTTTGACTGCTTCTGGGGGGTATCAAAGTCAGAAACTGAGGGTGATTCCTTTTAACCTATCACTTAGGAGTAGAATTATGGGGCTAGTATCTTGGCAATGTCTTAAGACCTTTCTTGGGGCTCGACCACGGTCAAGGTTGCTACGCTGGCAATCCTCATTTTAGCCCGGCGAACGTACACATTGGTTTCCACCCAGTTGCAGTGTGATACAACAGATGTCACCATTGGTTTGAATGTCATGACTCGCAATGAAGCTCGAGCGCCCATTGCCCTGGAGCACGTTGCCCTTTGCTACGTGATACACTCGTACAGCCCCAAACTATATAGGAGTGCTGGCCAAATCTTGCCAAGCTACAGCTTAGGACAGGACGGGGTAGCGCAAACTGAAGGCCTCATTGAAATCTGAGTGTCCGAGGTGTTGGGCACCATCTACATGGTGTTCCTGATTTACATGTGGGTGAACACCAGGGTAGATGCGCCGCTCCAAATTGGCGCTGATTAGGCGGGTGGCCTTGAGCATGTTTTACCACCGACCAGATCAGCGAGAGAAAGATATCAAAGAGGACAGGCTGTGTTTGCGTGTGTGCACGCGTGCATGCGCAGATGCCTCTTGATTGATCGAAGCCTTGCGTTGTTGTGGCTCCGGACGGTCAGAATAAGGTCAGGCGAGCATTTGTCAGACAAAAGTTGCAGCAGGAGCCTGGCTTCGAAGCCTGACAAATTGATGTGTTTGAGAACTTGCTTTTTCAATTATTGAACTCTCCGAAATTCACACAGCCAGCATGGGAACGCAGGCCAGCGCGCGATGAAAGCGCAACACGCAATGCAAAGTGCTTTTGATTGATTGTCGCTTTGTTCGCCATGGACGGCGATCTTGACCTGAAGCCAAAGGCCGGCACAATCGGCTTGAGGTTTGGAAGGCTCGGCTTGCGACATGGGATGCTCACGAGAGGCAAACAGGCACCGCTTCTGACGATTCTCAGATGCCCCGAGCCCAATTCGGTAGGCAGACTATCGCTGTCGTTCAGAAGGACAGATAAAGGTACAAGTCAAGAGCAACCAAGATACAACAAATGGGCTCAAAGATGCTACACGTAATTCTCCCTTGGTGCAAGCTGGAACCCGTTTAGTAGAAACCGTTTGGGGTCCCTTTAAGTTTCAGAATGACATCACCCCTCTTCCACCAATCGAAATCCGTGTTTTGTTTGTCCGCACAAGTTTTTGCAAGTTACAAATAGTTCAGGGACCAGGTTGTCTTTGTTCTTGGCTTGATCCCCGACAGTCGTGTGTGAATATATTCCTTCTTTGACCCTTGCTACGGAGAAGAAAAAAAAACTGAGAATGCCTAAAGGCAGACCAAGTCTTGATAGAAAGCTCCGTTCCTGCATCCTTCGCAGCGAATGTCTTACTTTGCTCACTTGGATGCCAGTGATGGCTACATCGCAGTGCCGTGAGTCCAAGAAGAAGATGACATAGCACCGTGTGCTCGACAAAGTCAAGCCGGTCCTGCGTGCAGGGTCGCATTTGATCCAGGAACCTAATGCCTTACTTATTCAGCGAAAGAATTGTCTCACTCCAAAATGAGCCTCTGTCGTTGCTCATCTGCACAGCGCAGGTCCCGCTGCCCGCCGCGTTTGTGCGACAGGAGGACGCCAGGTCATTGCGTGCGGCGATTCGTCAGGCTTGCCAGGTCGTGACTGACAGAATCTGCAAGTCATGGTGGGCTTTGGGTTTGGATTATTCTTGAAGGGCTTCTGCCACGATGCGATTTGAGAGTTCTCAAGGTGCCTTCCGTCACCAGACGTGACCCTAGCTTCGCCTAGAAGGGTCCGCCGCGGCAAGCCAACAATGGGATTTGCAATGGTTTTTCCTTGAGCCGCTTTCGTCGCAGGAGGCTTTGCGGAGATGTCGGGAGATGCTCTCTCGCTTGCCTCCTATGGAAGGCATGCCGCGCGTGGCTCCACCACTTGAGTAGCGTATGCCACCAAGAGATCAGGGTGTTTGTCTTTGCCAGAGGGCTTTGATTGCATTCAAAGCACCGGACTTCATTTTGTGCGGCTGCCACGCAGGCTCGGTGAAGTACGAGCGAGCATGGGGTATTGAAGAGTCTTTGGAACAGTTTCAATGCCTCATGAAGCAGCCGCTCGTCTTTTGCATAGCCGCTGTCTCACACAGCTGCTCAACGCTGCTGTTGGGGATGGTGTTTGTGTTGCCCTTTGCATGCCCATGATCCATGGTGTCCTGTTGTGAAAGCGGTGCGGATAGTCAAAGCAGCTTGCGCTACTTATCGAAGCCTGTTTGGGTAGTCCACCGTCAGCAGCACGCTAGACACGGACTACAATTCTTGACAGGCGGACAAAAACAGATATGATTGTCAAGGAGACAGATCCCAGCACAACGGAGCTGATTGGTCTCAAGGCGCGTTAAGCCTTCAGCAGATAGTAATTGGTATCTAAAATCGTGTCAGCATAGCTGAAGCGGAGCCGTTTCTTGTTTCGTTGCCGCTGCTGCCTTTTCCTTCTGCCTGTGTTCTTCCTGCTGCCTCTCCTCAACTGCCGCCGCTGCCTTCTCCTCCTCTTGCCCTTTATGAAATATGACTGCACTTGCAACTGTCGTCTTTGTTTGCTTTGCATCGCTTACTTGCAGTTGAGTGAAAGACCCTCATGGCTCATGTTTGACGTTGCGGAACAATAGCTGTTCGCAGTGGATTCATGGCGTTTGCAACCACACGAGAGACACGTGTCAACTTGACGTGGCGAGCGGGGGATCTCATGAGAAATCTGATCTGATCGGGCTGGGCGCCGAAGAACCTTCAGCGATAGCCAGGAAGGTATTAATGTCTAATCCGCAAGCGTTCTTATGAGTAAGGTTTCAACTGTTTCTTTTGCCGGTACACTCGGCAAGCTGTGTTTCCCAGACAAGCCAGCCAGCTCAGACGCAAGTTGAGGGTCGGGGAAGTCATGCGCACAGGATGGAGCCGGTATGTGTGCGTGTGTGTAAGCATCTGGATCTGACCAGAGTGGCCTCACTTCACCTTCCTTTGCGCTGGGTTGATGAAAGACTCAGGCACGAGCTGCAGTCCTCCGTGGGCCAAAGCCACGTCTCCGTGAGGCAACTGCAGGCGAAGGTGTGTGCACTCCAGGCAGCGCCCCGGCTAATCTGTTTTGTACCCTGCGGTACCCTCAAGAAACCAGACGCGGCCACGTGGAACTTGTTTTTGTGTTGGTGGAGATTCACCTGTGGGTCAGCCATACTCGCTCCAATGGCAGGCGGTTGAGCTTTGCTTGAACTGAAGGAAGGCAGAATCATGCCTGGATGAGCAGGATTTGGCTGCTCGTGCATCTTCACAAAGCGGGTCTTTTCTGAGTTCTGAATGCCGTGGCTGAGGCCGACGTGGCCAAGGCGGCTCGGGAGGCTGCTTGTCACAAGCATTGGATTTGCCCACAAGCCTTAAGGATGAAAGTCAGGATGTCACTGCAGTACATACTTTGCACCGCTCGCAGTGCGATTTCCCGTGATGGGTGCGACTGTCACACGGACTTTGCTTGCGATGGATTCCTTAATCGCAAGCTGCATTCACTTAGAATATACATGTGTTGTTCGATTACCTAGTTCCAATGTAAAAATTGTTGAATCAGTTTGCTGTTTCCCATCCTATTTGTTTGAACAATTCAGGGTCTGTTGTTTTCCTTCTGAAAGCATGTACGTTGCAGGGGTGTTTGCCTCAAATTCATATAAATATGTACACTTACACGCCAAACATATTTGTTAGATGTTGTTGATGTTGTTTAGTCATGTATGCTAGCTGCTTGCTTATTTGCGTAATTCTCGGAAGTTTGCAGGCAAATAGGTCTTCGTCGCTACAACTGCTCTCTGGCTGACTGCTTGGTCCTGGCGCTTGCACCAACAGCAGTAGCAGCTCAAGAACTCTTGTAACGAGTGTCCTTGTGCTGTATCATTACAGGTGTTTTCTAAACTAACAGAGACCTCCACGCATTTTATGCTCTGCACGCGCAAGATTCGAGGGCTTTGCGGCTTGATTGTCACATCGCATCTCCTGATTGGCTTAGTTCCGGTTTTGTCACCTCCAGGGAGCCGCACGAGCCCTGCTTGAGGCTTTGGGTGCGGCGCAGCCCGACCTGGCAGCAGTGATGCTGGAGGCAGGGATGTTCAGTGAAGTTTATGGTAACCGTGGCGTCGAAGAGAAGCGCAAACCTCGATATCTCCGACAACACGCAAGGCAAAATCCGTTGGCGATCAGAGCAATCCGCACCAGCAAGCTTGACATGGTGTCACGTGAGCATGTCCGTCCCCAAATTCTAGCTTGGAACTAAATTTTTTGCAGTGTCTACATGTCGAGACGCATATCATCATTGAATGCGATAGTATATAAGACTATGCCGTGTGTTAAATGCGCATTTCACAGACATTTGCCTACGTTAAAGCAACGAGACATATAGTGGTCGTATATGGCGCCAGACAAACACTTGAAACCTACTTTGCACAAATTCGGCTCTGAAGATACGTTCTAACTGCGCGCACTTAGAAATTGACCTTCGCCAAAATGCGTGACATGATACTTAGAACGTGTGCGCTAAATGTGGTTTTCAGGGACCGGACGAAAACCTCACTCTTAGAGCCAAGAGCCAAACATAGCGTCGCAGAACACTTTGTTGAGTTGATGGCATGTTCTAAGTGTGGCTCATCATTTTGCAGCAGTTGCTACTTATATTTACATACGGATTCGCTGGATAGTGCGGCAACATGTGCGATGGGGAGAGGTGTCTTGTTTGTTTTACGTGGTCCGCGTGCATGCTATAAGTGTGGCTGATCGCCGCCAAATTATGCTCTCAGGAGCGGGATGACACGCACATGGCCTCCCAAGCTTATCACGTCAAACTCGTACCTGGAAGCATTGACATAGACTCTCAAGGCGAGATGATATGGTCCGAAGCAGCGGGGAAAACAACATTTGCTTGCCAAAAGTTCTATGTTCTAAGGGTTTTGTAGGCTAACGTTCTAAGTGCGCTGTTTGCGCACACTCAGAACTTGGCCTACCCGCTGAAATGCGTGACATGATAAGTAGAACGTGTGCGCTTTTTCAGGGACCGAAAAAAAAAAAAAAAAAACTCACACTTACAGCACAGAGCCAAACATAGCACTTTGCTGAGTTGATGGCATGTCCTAGGTGTGGCTAACCACCACCAAATTCTGATTTCTGGGGCAAGTGGCGGGGCTGACCTGCTTGACGCAGACTTGTTCACATCTGTATGTTTGCCGCATTTGCTACATATATTTGTATGCGGATTCTCTGGATATTGCAGCAACATGAGATGGGAACAGTTACATGTTCCGCAGGCATGTTCTAAGTGTGGCTGATCGCCAACAAATTATGTTTTCAAGAGTATGACACGCGAATGGCCTCCCAAGCTTATCACATCAAGCTCGTACCTGGAAGCGTTTACATAGACTTTTCAAGAAAGATCCTTTGAATATGGTCCGGGCGGAAGCAGTGGGGAAAACAACATTGGCTTGCCAGACGTTCCACGTGTGGTGGTTGTCGTCACGTTCTAAGAGTTTTTTAGGCTAACGAACGCTCTATGTGCGCTGTTCACATCCTTAGCGTGGTGTCTCCGAAGTAAGTGTAAGGCGCCCGCAGTTAACATTCTAGCCAAAGTTCTAAGTGTGAGAAAAACACGTTTGTAAAAAAGACGCGTTCCAAGCATGTGTCCGTCGCTATAGACACTTCTCCTTTCATGAACAATAGAACCAAACAACAACTCAATTAAACTTGTCATGTCTCACTGAATGAAAATAATTGAGTGTTTACTTATTCTAGCAAATACATGAGGTAGAACCACACACGCGCAAATGCCAAAAGTTGTGTCCCGTATTTGCGCCAAAAAGGCGCACGGCCCGTTTGGCCCCTGGCCATAGGCCAAGTCTGCAGCCCGGCAGCTGAGCCTGGCGCTGCGGATGCAGAAGATCAAGGAGCGGCACTCCGCAGAGCCGGGGCCCTGATGCAGCTGGATGCGAAACACTAAGGTTGTTCCATCAATGAAACGCTGGCACAGCCACAAAGCAGCAACTGTTGAACATTGCTCGTCGCAAGCTTGCTGAGAACGAGTGTGTTTTGGACATTGCAATGTGTCTCACATGTGGCGTGAAAGCCATGGTCAGGTTTGGTTTTAGTTAGCGTAATTCAGTTAGCGTTTGCATTGCAGCGCGCTGTTCGTACACTAGTATTGTGATTGGAAGAGCTGCGCAGCGGTTTATGCCCCCCGATGGGACAACGGAGCTCTGGATTTGATTGGGCCGGGACACGCGTCAGCGGGCAAATTAACACGCTGGCCTTTGGAAATGCGTTTCCGACGGCATCGCCATGCAGACCATTGAAAGAAATGTGTGTTTGTGTTTGTGTTCGCATCCGCGCGCATTTGTGAACACCTACAGCCACACAGACAGATGCGGGGCGCTTCAAAACAAATTGCGCAACACACATCAAGCTGCCGCGGGTTCAATCTGGCACGTTACACCGTGTAGCCCAGATAATGTCAATGAATCACTTTAACATGTGGCGTGAAACGCGCGCGTGGTTAATTTTCAAGATAAATTACAGCAATGCGACCTGCTGGCGGAAGCCTTACTGCACTGTGTTCGCTCCAACATGTGGCCGCCGTTCTCCTGTCAGCATTTCCCTGGTTCACCAGGCGATTGAAGATGATGGAAGAGGACGCGGTGACGCCAGCAAACTGTGCGCCAACATTATGGTGGCAAGCGATTCAGGCGATGACTTGATAGGCCTTGCAGAAGGCTACAGGGTAGGCTTTTCGCTTTTCAGGCAACACTTCCGTGCTTGCGCGTTGCCTGAAGGAGATCAAGAAAAGCAATGCGGAAGCTAAGCCGCACATAAGTGTCCTCCAGCTTTGACAGCTTCAGGTCTCTGTCTGACTGACATCAAACATTTGGCCTGAAGCCCATTTGAAAGAACAGGCCTAAGTAAAAATATTGCGAATTCTCAGCTGACTGTTTGCCAAAATGTTCCTATCGAATTGTGGCTATGATGTGTGTTCATGGCTCTTGGTGAGAAGGATGATAAGGCAGGTCAAGTGTTTGTTGCTCCGATAGAACATGTTGCGTCGACGTAGTCTTAGAGCTTTGAAGCGTGGCTACTTGCTTCGCTCTCAACTTCGACCGTTGCGGGGTCCCAAGGAGATGACCAGTTTGCGCGAAGGCATCGAAGACGTCTCTAGTGGTGGGGGCCCTCCTCTGGCTGGTCCCATCGGCGCTGGCAAGGCAGAGGTCGGCGCCAATCGGAGACTTAGACTGCTGATGGCTCTTCGCTACGGTTTGTCTGAAGCTGTGAGTCTGATCCATTCTGGGCGCACGGGGCACTATCCCGATGCTGTTTGCGCGGGTTCTTTGCTTATGTCGTTTTAACTTTTGCTCCGTTCTCTTAATCACCCTTTCTGGATGTCTAGCTTTTTGTCGCCGTATGTTGGTTCTCTCACATTCTTTCTTTAGTACGTTTCAGTTTGTTTTTGCTTGTTTCTCGTCTCTACCCTATCTCTCTCTCTCTCTCTCTCTCTATCTCTCCCTCTTTCTTCCTTTCTTTCTTCAACTTCTTTAGTTCTTTCTTTTCTCTTTGTTTTTCTCTTTTTCTCTCTCCTTTTCTCTCTTTCTCTCTCTCTCTCTGTCTCTCTCCCTCTTCCTCTCTCTCTCTTTCTCCCTCTCCCTCTATCTGTCTCTGTCCCTGTCTCTGTCTTTGTCTCTTTCTCTGTTTCTCTCTTTGTTTCTGTCTTTTTCTCTTTCTTTCTGTCTCTGATCTCTGTTTTAGGTCTATGATATGTGCTACGTTTATGTCTAAACGGGACCCGGCTCGTTCCCACGGAAGTTGGCTGATATGCGATGCGGTGTGCGTAATGTTGCTCTGAAGACGGCTTTGTTGGCACGAGAGTAAAGTGGTTGCGGGGAGAGTATTTTTGGCGGTGCCAAGAAGCTTGTGGGTTTGTTTGGGCTGGAAGCCTTCAACACCCTGTCAAAAACAAAAGAAAAGGAAAAAACTCCTGGCGCGTACTGCTGGTTTTTTGCAATTGGAGCCACGATCAGAAAGGGCCCGAAAAAGGTCTCTCGTGTGCCTTTCGCAAGGCTCCAGCCAATTGCAAACGACTATTTGTCAACCAAAGCTGATGTGTCCGGCAAGTGATTATTGCGCTTGTCATCAACACTGCCATCGACTCGTCGGAGAGAACGTGCGGCTCACGCGCAACACGCTGAAGTTTCAATTAAAGAAAGTGTCTTCCGCCAGTTTAGGGTTTGGCGGACGCTTGTGTTCACAGCTGCCCCGCTTCTTCGCAAAACGTTAATGAAGCAAAGAACAATACGATTGCAGCCACGGGAAGCAGCCTTGTCAGGCGGGACAGCACAGCTTGTTGGGCGGCAGAAAGGCCAGACTTGATAGGTGAACAAACATGATAACAAGCCGGCAACATATAGGATAATGCTTTTGTCACAGATGACCCTTTGCACGACTTTCCTGACATCCCCGCGTCTTCTGTTTACAATGGTCGCGCGCTACTCGAGCTGGTGTGCTGCAAGACTAGGATTTCCGAGCTAGAGATTCCAAGTTGCACATTGCGCGCTGCACGCACACGGAAAGGATGAGATGTGTGACCTGGAGTTCCGAATTGCACTTTGTTGTTCTACACGCGTGCTGAAAAGTTGAGATTGGAGTTGCCAAAGCGTAGCAGGCTGAAGGGTTGCACTTCGCGAGGTTGGAAGCACAGAGAACGTGAAACACTTCAACATGACAAGGTAAACTCAGATGGCTCGCTTCAGGAGGCGAGGAGAGGGCTTTCAGCGAACAGTAATTCATGCACATCATGCGGGCGCAAAAGGAGCCCTGAGCAGATGGAAATATGGGATTGTTGGAGACCAGCGCTGTTGCGCGCAACAGTGTTTGTGCAGAAACATGTTTTCGAGACTGCCTGAAAATGCCTTGGGATGGCAAGGAGCTGCGATCGCAGCGCGACATGAGGTTTGGAACAAAGAGCACACTGCGACGTGGTCACAATACATGGGGCTTGAATTGCTGAGCTCAGGAAGTGGTTCTACTGACGCCCAGCTGACCTGGCTATTCTGTTTTGTGTGTTTGGTCGTTCGAGTTGTTGATGTTTTGGCAGTTTTTCTCATTGAGGCTCCGATTGCCATGTGGGTGGTCACGGACAGCGCTTTTGCAGATATCTCCTCAAAAGACCGAACTGGAGAATCTACCCCAGTGAGAGATGGTTTGAAGATCGCAATGGTCAAGTGAGCCATTGCCCTTTGGGCAAGAAGGCGGTGGATTTCACTGACGAGACCTATTTCAGCCGAATAGCTATGCACATCAAAGGGCGGATTTGGCTGGAGGATAAGCGGAAACTCTACGAATTCGTGCCTGACTTGATGCCGTACACCTACGTGATCCAAAACAGGCCACTCGTTGGCAACGCGAGGTTGCAACAGAGACCGCCAGGCCCATAACACATTTTTCTTCAAGCCTTCTCAGGTTTCTTAAAGTGATGTGGCAGAAAGAGCCCTTGCCCTGACAGCTCGTGCGTTATTTGTGCCGTGCTTGCGCTGCTTGTTTGGAGAATGACTTCTGCCAGGGCGTAGCTGATTTACTTTTCTTAAGTTTTGACTGACGAAAGGAACTGTCCACAAGCTGCAAGTATTATCGGGAGGCGGCGTGACCTGGCTCAGGCAGTGGGTGGGAGAGGTGCCGGAGAAGGTAGCGCCAGATGCTCCGCCCTGGCCGTGGTTCTTGAAGGAAACTGACAGGAATTGGGGCACCAGCTACTTGTCGAAAACTCTCGCCAACGATAGTCTTGCAATGCGAAAAGCTCATTTTGGATGCTTTTGCCCAGCGCAACCGCAATGCTTGCCGGATGGAGGATCATGATGACTCGACTGTTGCACGTTCACTAAATTATTCCTCAAGCATTGCCAGTTGAAGGAAGAATTGCGTGGCAAGCTTATTTCAGCTAACTGTCAAGAAAATTGTTCACGATGTGATGACTCTACTCGCTTATCTCCTCTCCAAGTCTTGTATGAGTCTACGTACTCTACTGTTATGTTGTAAACAAGTCGTTCCGACTTGTTCAAGGGGGTAGCAAATCAGGCAAGCGGCGGTTGTAAGGTCAAGACACGCGCCGCTAATACTTTGCCCAGCTCGTTGGCAATGGCCAAGGGAGTTGTTGAGGAGCATCTCCAGGTCAGACGAACAAGCAACTTAATTTTGCACCCCTTTGTGCAACATCAGGGCAATGACCAGCAGTTGCTAACTCACCTGTTAGCGAATGTCCAGCTGACATCGGACAGACATACAGATTTAGAGTCGTGAGTCCAAGGAGCGGAATACAAATTCTGAATTTTGATGTATTTTGCATTTGAGATATGGTTGCGCAAACACCACAGAATGATCTTGTGTCCAGCGCTGCAGTCTTTGATCGCGCAGCCTGCAGACTATTGGATGTCTTTTTCTTTGACCCGTATCAGCTGGGCTTTGCCATTCTCAAAGTTGGGACCGTTTCGTGAAGGTAGGACTGGCGAACGTTGCTCTTCACGAAAAGACTGCGTGCCCCTTCAGAGGAAAACATGCAGTTCTTCCAGCCCTGACCAAAAAGTGTGCGCGAGACCCTTCGCAGATCAGTGGACTCCGTATATGGTTGTTTTGGCCACAAGGAGAGTGAAGCTCCAAGCCACCTCGTTTTGAAAACGACGAAAAGGGGTGGGTGGGCAAGGCGCAGTGCGGCCCAGGCGTTGTGTGCTGCGCCAATCCAGATGAGTGCCTTCAAAGATCCAAAGACGATGCTACATACGTAGTGCAGAAACACATTCCGGACCCGTTGCACTACTACAATGGGGAGAAGTGCCACATCAAGCTTCTCGGCGCCAAAGTCTCTTGCAGGTTCCAGCTTGTGTGTCCGTGCGTCCTGTGTCCCTCACGGCAGAAGACTTCCGCACACTTTGACGTGTAATTGAGCGGTTGCAATCTATGTGTTTGACTCTTGACAAAGCGGCATCACTTTCTAATTATGCTTGGCAATAGCTCCGCCGAGCGCGCTCAAACGATCTACTAGCGGCGCTTGCGCCCCAAAACAAGCGACCGCATTGAGAAAGCTTACCTTCAAGCGATGATCAGTTGCAGGCAGCAAAGCATTGCGCGGCTCAGCTTTCATGAAGTGTTTGGCGATGCAGTTAATGATCCATGTTGATGTCATAAACCCCATGCTCTGGCGGAGAGATCCAAAGACCGGTACCTGCCTTGCCGTCCATCATGAAAGCCAAGGTTTTACAACCTTCTGGTCGGCCTCGATGACGGAGTCACGTGGCGACTCTACACATATCGGGACGGCTATCTCAGTATATCTCCCAAAGCCTGGTCTCCGACAGATTTGCCACGGCCTCAATGAGTGTTTGTGGAGGGACCTTTTCTGTCGCGCATAGCTGTGCGAGTTGCATGCCATGAAGAAGGGTTCCACATTGTTGACCCTGTCGACTAGAGGGCAGAGTTAGGCGTTGCTTGAGCAAGGATTGCAGACTGGTGTCAACATGATCGCAGCTAAGACACGGTCGAGACAGTTAGGCTCGCAACTCGATGCCAAGCATTTGTTTGGACTCCTACAAGTGGCGAAGCCAGTGAACTCTCTTATATTTCCAGGGGCAGCGCCCCAAAGTGTTGTTTTCTCGCGCCTTCCAAGGTCAAAGGAGTGTCAGGTGACCATTATCCGCACGAAGCGGATTAATGACTGGCCTTACTGGGACAAGGTCTATCCCAAGTGCCAGGCCTTCGCTCCTTGGGGCATGGGGCTCTAAAGAATCCGCCCACTTCGAAGTTTGGGCACACCTGACACGTTGGCGGATGCCCATTTCAACCAGACGTTGCTTGCCATGACCGACACGCACACAGAGGCCGGCGTGGCCACCGTCATCAAGCGAGCTGCGGAGCAGGGGAAGTTGGAGGGTCGCAACAAGGTGCAGCCTCTTTGCAGCAGAGGGGGGACTCGGAAACGGGGAAGCGGGGGGAGGCCAGGGCGTGGACGCTTTGTGGAGTCGATGTTTCATGTGTACAGGAGTGCGGCACGAGTTGCGAAGCATTCTTTGCAAGGCCGCCTTTCTGAATCTTGCCGAGTTGTTTTGGTGCTTCAAGAACGTGGAGCGAGTCAAGCTGTGCAAAACAAGAGGCTGCGTGGGCTCAAGAAGCAGCAGGCACATCGCAAAGCGCGGAGCAGAGCCAGCCGTAGCTTACTGATGCATTCCAAAAGTGACCAAAACGGCGGAGGGTGCTTAGGAAACGGGCGCTCTTTGGATTGCGTGCGGGAACTCAGAGTGCTTTTGCCCGGCAAAAGTAACCTTGCTATTTGGCCTTCAACAAAACAAGAGACGATTCACCAGTATATGTTTGCTTGTGGTTTCAGCTTTCAGGAGAGCGGTTCGATTGAAGCGGCAAATGAAAGAGCTGCTACTGGCACGCCTGGTGTGGAAATGCGACAGAAACATGAAAAAGGAAGCGCAAGCTTGTTTGAGCAACTTCTGTTCAGAAGCGTTTTTTCAGAGCCACTGCAGATCACTGAAGCAGACAGACGCGTTGCCCCCCTTGGCTGCCAAAGAAAGAAAAGTAAAGCAACGCAATATGTTGCGTAGACTGGAGAGCAAGCCAATCCACCGATCAAACTTGCGTGTGCAGGGCGATTTGAGGCGCGAGCTTGCTAGATCCTCAACCCGCTTGTGGCAACTGCGCAGAAGACCATAGAAAACTTATTCTGCAAATACCCAGTGCCTTGATGGTTGGGATGGCTTGACGGCTTCTCCGACAGCCAAGCCCAAGATAACAGGCCCCGTCACGCAAGCGGTGGGCATCGGAGAGTCGCCCAACCCATACCCTAAGAAATGAGACAGTGTTTGCTCTGAAGAACCTGTTGTAACATAGGGCAGCACCCTTGGAACTCGCTATGTAATTCTGTTGGGCAGCCCGTGGCGGACTTAGTCGATTCCAACAGTTGAAGAGCTTTCCTATTTTGTCGACAGCTTTCCTCCCACTTCGACGCACGCAGTCACGCAGTTCCTGAAAAGCGGGCCAAGTCAATGTTCATGGAGCCTCAGGTTTGAGATCATCAGCGCAGATTACATCGTCACTGCCAGCGAGGATGTGTATTTGCTAGAGTTCAACACAGGAGCTGAGAGCGCACGGCAAGTCTTTCTGGTTGAGCCAGGGTTGGTTAGGCTCAGATCGCCGCTGGCCAGCCCCGAGTTCTCCCTTGAGCGTGACTTGAGACTTGCCCTACTTTGTTTTGGTGTTAATCAAGCCCGCCCGGACTTGCTGAAGTCGATTGTTTTCATGGACACCGGACACTTCTGTGCTTCAACCATAGGACCTGTGCTCAAGGATGCCGAGGACTCCCCAGATGTCCATGACGCAGGGCTGCTGGCCTGGACGAGAGATTTGATTTGTCTGAAGTACAACATTACAACTACAAATAGTTGCAATTTCCCTTCAAACATCAAGAAGAACTACTGGGATGATATGGGGCTGCCCAGGTTTGAGCCACCCGGACTCAAACCCTTCGAGACCACGCCTTGGTTTCCAGAACGGGTGCGCAGATGTGACACGTGTGCCCATGCCGACGAGAAATGTGCTCGTGTTCTCTGAACTTTCATGGTTGTGTTGTTCGAAAAAGAACTCTTTGAGGCGGATTATGTTGCTTGAGAGCTCAATAACCCTAGAAACGAAACAGATCTCTTCTAAGAATTGCGCAAAGGTTCTCCCTTGGAAATGGGGTGCCTTTTGACCGCATATGCCGCATACGTGTCATACGTGTTCAACGGGGTTTCTCCAAGGATGGTTGACGGGGCGCTGCACATCGTGGAGCCCTGGGAGGGCGGCGACCCCAACCTCTGGGACCTGGCGATCGAATGCCAGGCGTATTCCAAGCCGCGTCTCCGGTGAACGCATTGCGTCCGCTAAATCTCCCTTTGCAATTGATACCAGTTGGCCCAGTTCAAGCAGAGGTCAACTGGTACCGGTTCAGCTGGGCCAGTTCAGCCGGCTCACCTGGTTCAACTGGCTCAGAGGTTCTCTGGTTAAAGTCCAGCTGTTTCAACCGGTTTGATTGTTTCAAAGTTTCAGGCCCGGCGATGTGGCAGCACTGGGAAACAATGAAGGCACACACTGGAAGACAAGTAAATGCGCACACTTGCGAGCATGTGGCCCGGCGATCTGGCAGCACTGCGAGACAAATGAAGGTCAGATGGAACACACCAAGAACACACAATGATTCACTTGAAGCACTCATGCGTGCATCCGCAGCATGCTGCGTGTGGCTCGATCAAGCGTATGCGCGCGCTCAGACGCGCGTTTCTGAGCCTCAAACACACATGCCTGCCCGCGGAATACACCGCACATGAGTTGACAATGGCCAACTATGCGATTGGGTCTTCAAACCACGAGGCTGTTCACGCGTGGCTTGTCCAAGAGGTTGCATTATATCGACCACTTTGCAGTCGAGGAGAAGCTCCCTTGCTATCCTTCCGGATACGAAAATGGAGCATTAATTATTTGCAGTTGAGGCCACCCTGCCAGGCCCATCGAACAAGCGCGCAGTGCTCATGGTTTTTCACTTGCGGATGTTTTGCAAAAAGCCGCTCTTTGCCAGGGCGTGCCACCCAAGCCGGAAGAGCGCCTGGGCCAAGCAGGTGCATGACTTGCGTGCGTCCTAACAACAGCAAATCAGCCCCAGCGGCGCTGATTATTTTGTTTCAGGTGAGCTTGTTGGGGCTTTTCTTTGAGATTGTTCGCGGCCATGTTCAGTCCTTGGGGACATCAAGCCATGTCTTGGCGAGAATTGCATTCAACGCAAGCCTCAGGTTTCCATCTGACGCTTGACAGCCAAAGAATCAGGAGAGCAAATAATGTATGTGAAGTATCAATAAAAATGATGAATGCACACGCGTACGCGCGTGGTCAAATCCAACAAGCTCGAGCGGCGCGGCGCGTACTGCCATGTGTGGGGGTTAGGCTTTGTTTTATAGAGACTTATAACCCAACTTATTACTTCTACATCCTAACTTATAATCCAAAGTAAGTTCGCAAGTCTCTATACAACTTAGCACAAGTTCTATAGCAACTTATACGATGGATGTTAGTGTAAGTTCTATAGAACTTATAAGGACTTATCCCTAAGTTCTAGGAAGTTCTAGCCTAAGTTACTTAAGGAACTTAGGGAACTTAGGTGAACTTAGCTTTTTTGTATGATTTTTCGAAATTTAGGCACGCGCTGAAAAAGCGAGCGGGGCTTTTTCCACACAGCCACGCTTTGCTGCACTGAGTCTTTGCCAGTGTCACCAAGCGATGATCTCGACAATGTCGCCGCGCCGCTGCCACCCAAGAGCGAGGCGCAGGCCGTCTTGCAAGCAGTGCACTTTCACAGGCGAATCCCCGCTGACGCCACGTTGAGAAGGTCGCGGACTTGGAAAGGAACTCGAGCGGCACCACCACAGCTGCCATGCGCTCGTCAACGCGTAGCCCGCAGACCAGGGACACGGACACGCCCCGCGCCAGGACAAAGTTGTCCGCCGTGTAGAGGTCTTGTTTCCAAAAACTGATGAGACACCAGAATGTTCGCGTCGTCTTCGCACAAAACCTCGCCGCGCAACAGAGCACCCTCCCGCGCAGCGACCGCGATGTGCGCGGATGCGAGAATGCTGCGGGCAAAGATGCCGCGCTCGAACCCAGGGCCCGAGCGCAAGTGCGAGGAGTAAGCTTTGAGTAGCCTGTGCTTGCGCTCAACTGGGAAGCAGTCCAGCACCATGCCATCGCGCAAGATCTGCGGCCCGAGATGATGAAGAAAGTGGTGCTTCGGCACCATGATCTCTGGCCCGTACGCCGCCTGCAGCGCTGCATGGTGGGCATGCACGGCCGCGGTGAAGGTCGCAGTGCTCTCGGCGTTCACCGGCAACTCGCCAAGCTTCAAGCGCTGGTACATGCCCAAGATGTCCCGCACTCTCAAAAGGGAAGCGGTCTCTCGCGGCAGGATGTCCTGTGTGACCTTCTCCGCAAAGAGCGCAAGGATGGGATACGCTGCCAGGAGCTCGGCCGCCTCGGGCAAATTTAAGCCTCCAGAAGCTCTGGCTCCCGCTTCGCGAAGAGTGGAATCCGAGCAAGCGCGGCGGTGTTCAGCCCGACTGGGGAAACACGCAGAAGGTCATCGTGGGAGGGCTTCATGCGTGCTGTGAGCCAAACGCCTGCGTGCGCATACATGCACGGCGCAACAGAATGAGGCATGGACACCATGCACAGCTTTTCACGCACGAACGCCAGCGCTATATAGATGCGTTCCGCCGCGTGCGCCGCGCAGGGCTATAGAAGCGATGTATAAACAGATCTATAGCTAATCCGCTCTTGAGCGCGCCTCTGCTGCGACAGCACGGACAAGTCTACGCTGATATCTATAGATCTCTGCACACGCGAACTGCAGGAGCCGCGCGGCAAAGCGGCCTAAGGTCTCCTCGCCGTGCTTCAACACGTCTCCGATGTCTTTCTCAGCCGCTGATAGATCCACCAGCTGCTGGGCCAGCCACTGCGTGCAGTGTTTGTCCTGCTCGCCGCGATGGAGTGACTTCTGGTGGTCGAACACCAAGCGGCTGATCGTGGTCTCAGTGTCAAGCAGGCTCTTCGCGAGAGCGCCGTCTTCTGGCGCACGAGCACGCAAGCGCAGGGACGATACGCTCAGCTTGTTGATTGAGGCGGCGAATGCCGCCCTCGAGGCGCTTCATCGTGCGAGTGTGCATCGATTCTTGGTGACTGGGCGGCTGAACCACGTGACTGGCGTGCGCGACAGCGCTCTGCGCCTCCTTCTCCGCCACCAAGCTGTCCATCGTCCACCAGTACTCTGGCTCGCCCATGGCTTTCAGCGTCTCATCATGGGCGTCGCGGAAGACCTGGAGCTGGGCGCATTGCTGCGGCTACTTGCCAACGACTGAACCACTGCCCTCTCTTCTCCGCACTTTGCGACGTCTCGAAGATCGTGTGGTGCGTGAAGGTGTGCAGCCATTGCAGCGTAGCGCCGTTTGAGTGCTCCGCAAAGGACTTCAGGATGGCGTCGTGACGCCCTGGCTCACGCAGTGCCGCAGCGTCTCTGAGGCCTGTCGGCGGAATCCCCACCTTTCCAGATCTGGTATGACAAAGCGTTGTGCGCGCGCTTGTACAGCTCCTCACTCACCTCGGGGATATCCAGCGCTGCTGCCTTTGACTTCGCCGCGCCTTGCTTTGTTTTTTGTTCTTTTTTTACGTCCGCAGGCTGTGCCTTGGCCTTTGCAGCCGCTGACTTCTTCGGCGCCACCAGTGAAAACGGGCGGAAACGGTGCAGAGCAAAACCGAAGCGACGCATTATGGTAACTTATATGCTTCTGTTTGTTCAAAGTGCAAGCCGTGAAGTGCTTCAAAGCTAAAGCTGGCGATCATGCAGCGACAAGACATGCGTCACGCAGCTGGCACTTTTTGCACATCGCAACGGTCAAAACTGCATCTGCTTGCGCAACGCGTGTGCTCACACAACGAGTCTAGCTGCAGGGGTGAGTGCTGCAAGCGCCAGCGCGCAACATAGCTCACTTTGCGCAGCATGCGGACACAGTCCGCAGCGCGTTCGCTCACGCACTGTCGCTCTTGGGGGGAACTGCCGCTGGGCTAACTGCGGCCGCTGCACCATGCGGCGAGGGGACGCAGCCTTCAGCTTCCTTGGGCGCGACCGCCAAGCGTTTCTCCTGGTCGTGGAGCTCGATTGCCTTATCCAGCAGCCACTGCGTGAGCCCGGAATCGTGCGGCTCTTGCTCGCCGCGACTCAAGCAGCGCTCCTGGTCGACAATGAGGCGCCAAATCTTCGACTCGATGTTGCTCAGGCGCTTGACCAGTGTGAGTGATCTTCTGGCAAGCGCGCATGCGAAGGGCCAAGGCACTCATCTTGTTGGGGCGGCGGACGCCGCGCCCTAGGCGTTGCAGTGGGATTTGTCCCGCGTGCGCGCTAGCGCTTTGCTGCTCCTTCTCTGCGCGGGCTTCCAACTGCAAAACCAGTACTTGAGTTCCTTGTGGCGCTTCTTCAGGACCTCATTCTTCGCCGGGCGAGACTCAAGCCGATCGAGATGTTCTGGGCTCCCCAACTGGGCCGCAACTTGCCAACGGCTAAGCCATTGGCCACGCCGCTCCGCAGCCACGACCACCTCGTGGCTTGTCTGCTTGACAAACATGTGGGCGCGCTCGGGCGGCGGCTTGCCGCGAAGGCGGTCAGAACTGCTTCGCGGCGACCCGGCGCACACCGCGCGTCCATCACCTCGGAGGCGCCAGTGAAACAGCCTGTCTGGGTCTGGAAGGACAGCTCCTCCGTAGCACGCTTGTAGAAGTCCTTTGACACCTCGACAAAGTCGGAACGTTCCTCACGTGACTTAGCAGATTTGCCGCGGCCTTTGCCTTTCCCTTTGCCATGCACCTTTGCAACCTTTCGCACTTGAGCCTGCGGCTCCTCCTTGGCCTTTGCCGCGGCAGACGTTTTGGGCGCCATGTCCAGTGAGGCAGCTAGTAAGCCAAACTGCAGGTGCTGGCATGGGTGCAACTGAGACATGTCACGCCAACCCAATCACGACCAAGGAACTCTGCAATCTTGTCCAAAAAGAACGGAAGGGCAGCGACGACATCCATGGCCCGATCGCAGCCATCACGCGGCTAGCAGATGAGCTGGCGCAAGCGCTGTCCACTGCAGCAAGAGCCGTCAGAGATGCGTCGCAAATATGGCCGCAAGCACGCGCATATTTCACCCAGACTCACTGTCCACATCTCAGCTGAAAGTTGCATCAACGGCGCATCTGCTTCGCGTTCCAAGTGGCAACGAGCCCAGCGCAATATGCGACATCTCACCACCGTGGTCGAAACACGCTGCATGGCCAGCACAAGAATCTACCAGTCTTATTTCATTACTGCATGTATCCGCGCGAAATGAATCGCTGCGAAACGCAAAGAAATTTGTTTAGCAAACTGGGATCAAATCAATAATGAGTCGTTTGATGAGAATCATTCACATTAAACATCTCAAGATGAAGGAGCTGAGAGCTGCGGTCATACTCAAGGTCGCTGTATTGAATGTGTGAGTTGAATTTCACAGTATGAGCAAATCCAGAACA